TTCAGAACTAGTCACTATTAAAGAAAATGTTATTAGTATGGTGGGTTTGTAGAGATTGTTGAATCTTCTAATTTATATTACAGACTACTCTTAGTTACACAACTAATGAAAACCAGGAAGTATTGGACATCTTTTTCATCCAAGTATGATCAAAGTATTCTTCAGCGGAGCAATAATGCTATGTTCAGATGATGAAATCAAAAAACTGTTGAGATTCATCGAAAAGAAAACGGATACCTAAAGAAATTTATCACGAAATATGGAAATATTTTTCAGAAGTCATAACTATGCAATCATCAACACAAAACTTATTTTCATCTATCTTTCACTCATGGATAAATAGAACTTAGGGATGAATGAGACAACAACTCAATGAGAAGTAATCCTCTTTCAACTTAGAGGATTTCATTGTATAACAACAAATATTCTTTGAATGAATCAAAATTAGATTAGTAGACTTTTGAATTTGCATATGTGGGAATAACATGGAGGAGGATTTATGCAGTGTTTTGTTCGACATTTTCTTCAAAATCTATGGCTGAATGAAAGAAAAGTATTTAGAAAACGAGATGAGCAAACAATCTATAGATAAAAGACACTAAGTAGATACTCGTAAAGCTTTTAAAATAACTAATCACTAACAAATACAGCATTTAGTTAACCTGTAGTGAATGAGAATACAAGTGAGGACAATCGAATGTATACGACACGAAAATTACTGACTATCTCACTAAAATCTGACAACCATACAGTAAAAAGTTAATTTGTAAACTAGCAATCAATTGTGTCAATCTTGACGATTCCGTCTGCAAATATTAGTCCATCGTCTCCGATTAATTATTGTACATGTATTTTCATACCGACTGCGTTTCGTTACCGTTCTTTCCTAATCAACCTTCTACTGAAGTACATTCAATGCCTGACCATTATATACTACTTATGTGGATATATATAGCCCGCACCACAAACCTTATTGGGATTATTATCATTAGTCATTTCCAATATGATCTATTTATGCTAAAGGAAATCATGATTAATCTCTCTTTACCTCATTAAACATAAACATACAGTGAAACAATTTTATTTATGATATAATTTTATCCCAGTGAACAATTGTTTTCAATAACTTCATCATTAGGCTCTACAGTTATAAGTCCATAATCATTGTGATATTTTACGAAGTCAGAAGGGGTTTGGTGGAGATTTTAGTAATTTTATAGAGTTGAGATCATTAGCCAATTGAAGCTAGGCCACCATCGGAAGCTTGGAAGCACTGGACGGCCAACTCGTCCTATTATGGGACTCCTCAGCAGTGCGCATCCACGATCCCACTCTCGAGATTTGAACCCAGGACCTACCAGTCTCGCGCACTTAACTACTAGACCACTGAGCCGGTATTCGACAGTGTTAATGTCTAGCTTCAACCGGTCCACGCAATTGGGCGCGAGACTGGTAGGTCCTGGGTTCGAGTCTCGCTAGTGTGGGATCGTGGATGCGCACCGCTGAGGAGTTCCATAATAGGATGAAACGGCCGTCCGGTGCTTCTAGGTTTTCGATGGTGGTCGAGCTTCAAGTGACTCATGGTCTCAACTCCTTAATATTTTACAAAGGCCAAAATGAGATATGTATTGATTAATTTGACAATGTTACATGTTGAAAATGGTGAACGTTTACATCTGCTATGACATTATGGTATTTGAAAATCAGAAAGGTCATTTAGTAAAGGTCAAAATGATTTGCAGTGTAGTGTCCAGTCACAATCAGTTGAATAGGAATATAACGAAAATGAAAATGCAAAAAAACTGTGTGAATAAAATTCATAGTAGGAGAATTTCATTTTGTTAGTTGAGATAATAATGATAAATAGTCATAGTAATAATAATAATAATAAGATTGTTGTGTGAATATAATATGTAATTAAAGGGGGTGTTATCAAGGTAATTACGATAAATGAATTGGGAATGATGGATGTGAAAATTAGAATAGAGGTGATAAAAAAGGGAGAGGTTTATAAAATTTAGTTCAGGTATCCGGTGATCCAGTCTTAGGCCAAGGTAAACATAGAGGTTGGATATACCTTTTCTGGATACATAAGTTAGGTTTTCTGGAGTTGATCCAGATGGCTCAAATATTGTTCATTTTTGAATATTCTATGGGGATATAATTTTATGTTTATCCATTCAATAACCTTTCATTTAAGAGCAGCACATCTACAACTGAAGAACATTTGGAACTCAAAACAATTGTCAATCAACACCAAGATCAGAATTTTCAACACAAATGTCAAGACAGCTCTACTACATGGGGCGGAGACTTGGAGAACTACGAAAGCCATCATCCAGAAGGTACAAGTGTTTATTAACAGTTGTCTACGCAAGATACTTCAGATCCGTTGGTCAAACATTATCAGCAACAACCTACTGTGGGAGAGAACCAACCAGATTTCAATGGAGGATGAAATCAGGAATAAGCGCTGGAAGTGGAAAAGGTACACATTGAGGAAATCACCCAACTGCGTCACAAGACAAGCCTTCATATGGAATCCTAAAGGTCAGAGGAGAAGAGGAAGATCAAAGAACACATTAAGCCGAAAAATGAAGACAAATATGAGAAGAATGAACAAAAACTGGATAGAACTAGAAAGAAAGGCCCAGAACAGAGTAGGTTGGAGAATGTTAGTCGGCGGTCTATGCTCCATTGGGAGTAACAGACGTAAGGAAAATAAAAAGTAAGTAACCTTTCATTTATCAAGTTAATTATATCGTTTAACTATATGATTGGTAGTTCTATTGACTTTGTTTTGTTGTTTACTTTAGGAATTTCAGTTCAGTTTATACAAATTGACTAATGAACTGAGTTTGTATATATTTTAATTTATTGACAGAAATCTAATAATCAAAATGTATATTTACAATCATGATTGATCAAGTGTGTTGATGTTAAACTAATATGGATAGATAAGTAACTAAGTGTTATTTTATTTTTTTGTTGATGGTGTCTAAAATGGTTTTGATCAGAAAATGATCTGTCTATACGTTAATGATAATATAAATAGAGTTGAATAATAATGTAATTAGTGATAGTTAAGTTATATTGATCAGTTGATAGATTATTTAATAAGCTAAACCATACAACAGAGCTACCTCAAGATTTTGATCCATTTTAGCTAATCAAGAAATTTGAATGATTGGTTTATAGTAGACAATTGAAAATTTTTTAAAGAGAACATTAATTTCATATTGTAGTGACCTGCTTTTCTTGACGAGAACGTGATTGGTATAATGGAAACAATTATTATTATAACTATTTGTACCAGTGATTGTTTTATTGTACTCGTTTTGTTTAACTGTAACAAAATCACTTTTCATTCGGTTGTCCATCTTGTCCGCTTGAACTTTCTTACGCTCTGCCCTTATTGCCTGTACTCGTTAGCACGTCTCAGTATCCTTTCGATAACATGAGATCGGCAATAAATATACTTTATCTGAACTAATTACAACCTTCTGGTTTACGAGCTATCAAAGGAACGAAGTCGATTTTCGGTCGTGTAATCTTACTGTAGTGGTGATCATAGTCAATCGAGACTAGACACCATCTACAATACCATTAATGAACTATTTGCTTTCGAATCCTAATGGTGAAGGTTTAAGGTTTAGGATTTTGGACAAATATCAAGTTTTACGGTAATTTTAAATATATAATAAACCCCAGTCCAAACGCTAAACTCTACTGTAGTGAACAAGAAGTCAAGTGGGGAAGACCAATTTATTATCTGGTATGATATTACAGAGTTCTTTGGTGAAATGTGAAAATCATATAGTAAATACTTCATTTGTAAACCTTCTATACACTGTCCTTTACATCCTTCATGATTCTTCGAATTCTCGATTCCTTTATGTTTCTATGTCTGTTTCTTTCAATTTAATCTATGGTTCATTAATATCCTGATATGATATCTTATGGAAATTTACTGTACCAAAGAGATCCTTCTTCTTTTGTCTCACGGAAACTTCCACTGTTTCCAGTTAATTGTCACTGGTCACTTAGATATTGGACAGCACCAGCGACTTCACTCTGCTACTATCAGTTTAATGTGGTAATATAACCATAGGACGCACATGTTAGGTTGATCTACCGTTAGAAGAGAAAATCTGTTGTTCATCTTTCTTGTTTTTGGATCTTTGTTATCTAAGTGGTAGCAGTTACTACCTTCTGAAGGTAAAATATAGGTGAAACTAGGTTGAGAGGATGAACAGCTAAATAGTGTTCAATATTTTTCCGGATTATACTACCCCCTCTTCAGCAAAAGAACCAAGATTTTCTGTCATTGTTTCTTGGAATTCTCTCAATGACATCTAATAACTTTTATCGACCATGAACCATCATGCCATCTAAATAAAGCTATTTAAGGTAACCACACATCATTTATTAGGTAAAGTATCAACTTGTTCTACTTGTAGCTGTGGAGTCAATAAAAACTGAAGAAATATTCCTCACTTTCTTTTATTATGGCATCCCAAAAGGTGTTTATGTTATAGTAAATATCGTCATCGTGTTATAGTAAATATCGTCATTATTAAACAGAAGGGTTAGACAGAAAGTGGATACGTTCAAAATATGCTCAAAATTGTATTACTTCTATCTAGATTATTTCTAAGGTGTATTACTTCTTTTTAATCCAGTTCCCAGAAAACGGCACAATAGTCAGTCGGTTAAGTGCTTTGACGCGAGAGTGGTAGGTCCTGGGTTCGAATCTCGCGAGTACGGGATCGTGGATGCGCACTACTGAGAAGTCCCATGATAGGACGAAACGGCCGTCCAGTGCTTCAAGGTTTCCCATGGTGTTCTAGCTTCAATTGACTCATGATTTCAACTATGACAATTTAAATTGTTAAAAAAGACTAAATACTCCTTAGAAATATATATTTCCATGAAAATGTAGTCGGAAAACGGTTTCACTTAGAACAACAAATATATATTTTTATTCCTCTTGTCAGTTTTTACATATTTGGTAACCAACTACACATACCAACAGACGATGGAAGAAGTTTTCTTTTGTAGTTCACCAAAGACGATTTTTCTGGCTCGTCGAGTGTCTATATGAAATAAGAACATCGTTAAATTAACCAAGTTATATATATAATTTACAATGACTTGTTTACAGAACAATGTTAAGGTATTGGCTGGAATAAGTTCTTTGTCTACACTCCAAAACATTATGAAATCTTACATATGGTGAATACTATTACTTATAATCTGTAAAATGTATCTTATGAGCTGTGTAGCTGGCATTTTGTGTACGAATATATTTTAGGACCTGAAATTTACTTGAATTGTTGGTACTCTTTCATGCATGTGTATAACTTTTGATTCACCTTTGCTTTTACTAACTTTTACGTAATCTTATCAGAATGGATATAACGTTGTTAAGTTTATATGAGATGCATTCTAGTAGTTTTCTGCACACTGATAGCGTTGTTATTCCCCTTGAAATGAACATATGTTATGTTATAGGTGTCATTACCAAGACTTGATTTGATAATTTTGAATAAATTGAGCATTGGGTAGATTGTTATAAATAAATTATATATTTGTAATATCCCAATGAGTAGAAAAATTAGATTTTCTGACGTTTCGTGACTCAGTGTAAGCCACTTCTTCAGAAGAAGTGGCTTACACTGAGTCACGAAACGTCAGAAAATCTAATTTTTCTACTCATTGGGATATTACAAATATATAATTTATTTATATGTTATGTTAGTATTAAATGACTACTGAAAATATATGTCGAAGATGAATAGTAATTTAAACATCGTGACATATCAGCATTATCATGAAGGTTTTTCTCCAGTATGACGAATCTAAAGACGATGATGATCTTTTTGTTAAAATGTTAGTTAGGAAATACTAAAAAAAGACTATCACAACGTTTGCACTCCTATTGTGTTGAATTTTATTGAATAATGGGAAGTTGAACAAAACTTGATTGTAAGTTTAAAGGAAACAGTGATAGGTAATCTGCTCACATCCTCATTTCTCTCTATATTTTAATTATGACTGATAATTGATAAATCATCTACTGCAACACTTATTACTGACTTTCTGGCTGGTTCCTATAACCATAGACTATTTTTATTCATTTGTTAAGGTTTCTACTATCCAATTTAAAATTGGATTTGATTACACTATAGTATCGTAAATGAATTGTGAGTTAATGCCCTGATCCTATCTATGGTTGCAAATTTTATCATCCTTAATAGTTTATTAGCGGCAGTGTCCCGTACAGTGATTGTGTTTTTTTTCAATATGCTTCAGACCTAGGGACTTATCAAATGTAGTCTTTAATACTTGGGAAGAGAGGATTTACTTATTTTTTTTTGAAGTTTATTATGAGGTTACTGATTATTAACAAGTAGTATAAAACACGTAGAAGTATATTATCTGTCAAAACGATGCTGTACCTGGCTTACTTCATATTGAGATGATTTACAGTAATGTAATCATGAATTTATAAATAAGACAAGTGAGAAACTAAGTGTTGGTAAAGTCGATCGATCAATTCTGACCAACCAAAAATTTAGAAGTCAACTAATTGTCTTTATATATGATGAAAATCCCTTAACAATTATCAATAGAAGTGAGAATATTAGTTGCCCATAAAGTGTTGAATAAGCAGTAGACCAATTAATAAAATAACACTGTTGAAAAAGATGAACGATTTGAGGACCAATAAAATTCTTATCAAGGTGGTAACTTGGTAATATAAAGTCTCCTCTATGCCTAAAAATACCAACATAACTTGCCATTAGGATATCAACCAGTTTACCGAAGCTATCATGTTCATGTAAATTCCATTTTTGAAATGGACACTATTTTATCTGTAATGTCAGATTAAAACAGATGATTAGTTTGTATTGGGACCAGAGTGAACGGGCTATAATGTGTGATTATTGATTCATTCATGTACGTTGCCGCTTTGACTGATGACCTTCCAATTTTCACTTCACACAGCCAATGAATAACAACGATGAACGTAACGCTTATTTAACCTCAACTTCATTATAACCCGGAGTCCAATCAGGAGAAGAAGATAGAAAGCCGATCAATTCACGTTGTACTCAGTTAATTACGACTCAAAACTAATGTAATCATATACTTGAACTGCCTGACTAAACAGTAACACAACTATAAAATTATAACATATGTATAACTCTTTCATATGTGATACTAGACTACAGTAATTGGGAAATAATTAATTTATGAAAAATGTTAAATAATAAACAATATGACAATAGTTTCTGAATCAAACGACAGCTTAGAATTAAGCGATTATAAAATGTATCACTGCAAGCATTTAATAATTCTATAAAAATTTATTATTCCTAATAATCCTATTTATGATAGTCCCATAAGTTATACTGGGAGGCAAAACCCGACTCACACGTCCTCGTTGTGCCTCCTTGATTATGGGATTGTTTCCATGAACTAATGTGAGCGGTGATCCGGATGGTGGAGATCGGCCTAACCATCAACTCTACATATACCCACAAATGATTACGATTGCTACAAAGAATCATAACATAATTATTATTGGTTCAAAAAGAAAGAAAATATGAGTCTTTTTGATGTTGGTTTGTTCTCTGAGCTGGATGGTTTGGTCGTGGAGCTTTCATCGTCCTTCTGAACGACGTCATCAGCACAAACTTCGGGTAGAAGTGAAGTGCTTGAATTTCTCCACATGTGATTCACAGCTTGTCCTCTGCACTTCGATGTTGATTGGTTCTTATTGACCTTAAATCTGTCATTGTTTATTTCTTTGTTTTGGTTGTATCTCCTATTGGTTTGATTTTTGTTCCTATGTTCCTGCATAATTTTCTTGACTGGTTGATAGATTGGATTGATTTCAATATGTTTGTTTATTGCTGATTGACCTGAGTGCCAAGCTTCTAAAAATTCTCTGGTATGTTTGGAATTGCCTCTGTCCAAAATCTGCACATTTTCCCAGTCGAATGTATGCCCGTAGTTGTCCACGTGTAATGATATGAGTGAAGAAATGTCGTGGCGTTTGACTGTTAATTGGTGTTCATGTAGGCGAAGATGTAGGGGGCGTCCGCTTTGTCCAATATAGTGTTTGTTGCAGTTGGTACAATTTATCTTGTAGATGATGTTTGTTTTGTCCTCTTTTGCCATTTCATCTTTTGGTTTGCACAAGATTGAGTGGAGGGACTTTGTTTGTTTGTGGGCTACACCTATTCAGAAGGTTTTCAGCAGCCTTCCACCATCTCAAAGTATGAGTCTGCCCAAAAAATAAAAGAATGATAAAATGATTCTGCATAAGCAATGCAAAAACAGCCACGGTAGTTGTGCCGTGCTTCGATGTAGCACTTTTTTCCAGAAGGGCCTACTACGCTTCATCATGTTACATAAGTTATACTGTCATATTGCTTGTGTCATATTTGAAACATTTATTTATCCAACCGATACATCAAAACAATTAAACTAAGGAATAAGATTGAACAACCGCATGTTTGATAAAACTTAGCATGTACACAAAGTTTTAAACAACCTGTATATTTAGATAGATTTATAAATATAGAGTATATCAATCTATCTCTCCCTATATATGAACGAAACTGTGTTTTATTATGTTGCTTAGAAGTGGTAGGTGTCGGCCTTTCATAGTTCCATTCTTAGATACGGGTATATATATATATATATATATATATATATATATATATATTTGTTTTGAAATCACTCCCCATACAGTAAACTATGATGATCCCTATGCAGATATTTATTTTATTATATGTGTTACAAAGTTTCCTTTTTCTTTGGAAAAACTGTCGGTAGAAGTTGATACCTTTTTCTTCCCAAGAGACAGATAATCTATATTGTATGAATTTATAAGTCACTGATTTCTCCAATTTATAGACACAACAATCTAAAGAAGATACTCATCGATTCATTATTTATACATAATGTTATAAAGGTAGGATACTTGTTATAACTCTATGGTTTCTTGTGATAACGGTCCTTTTACTTTTTACTTGTATGTGAGACGTTAATTTACCTTAGACGAATATCGACACTAGATTCCCACCCAGTATCTATTCTACAGGACTTCAACACAACTTAGATCAAAAACACGAGATTAACCTGACCAGAACGTCAATATTATTTCCACACCAAAATCCGACATAATCCAACAACAAGGAACAGGTAATCAATCATAATAAGGATTGGGGTATATATAACACATATAACACCTGTCACACTATCTACATATCTGACTCAGGAAAACAACCAATCATTATGACTCTCACCTACACATCACGTAATCTATTTGCAGTATCAAGATTGTTATTCTCCACAAACTCATACTAACAGTTATCATGTGTTCATCAGTGATATAATTCGAGAGGAAATTCATGGAATTCTAGTGATTGTTAAGGGATTTTCATCAAATATAAAGACAATTAGGTGGCTTCCAAGTTTCTGGTTCGTCAGAATTCATTGATCGGTTTTACCAACACTTAGTTTCTTACTTGTCTTACTTGTACAATCATGATTACATTACTGTAAATCATCTCAATATGAAGTAAACCAGGTACAACATCGTTTTGATGGATAATGATTTGAGGTATTACACTACTTGTTAATAATCAGTAATCTCATAATAAACTTCAAAAACATAATTAAAATTCCTCTATGTAAATATTGATGACTCTTTTTGATAAGTCCCTCCTTCTGAAGCTCCACAAAGTTATAATGGCAGTTATTATGTGCTCATCAATGTTCTAATTCGAAAAGAAATTTCTCTAATTCTAGTCAAATGTCATAATCAATTTAAAGAGGTAATCATCTATTTAAACATAATGAAATATCATATATTGATTATTGATAAATCATTAAAATTACCTTTTTAGGAATAATTGTATAATAATTTAAATATTCAAAATTTTCATTTAATTGATTTTTATTAAATTCATTTAAATTTTTAATAAAATTTTGTATTTTTATTTGTAAATTTTCATTATTTAATTGTTCTAATAAATATCCAGCATTTAATTTATAATGATATGGTAAATTTGAATGAATTATTTCTTTTAATTCATTATCATTAATGAATTGATTTAATTGATTTAATTGTAAATTATTATTATTTTTATTATTATTATTACTAATCAATAAATTTTGATTCAATGTTTTAAAATTATTTTCTGATGTAATCAATAAATCAAATGATAGATTATTGATTTTATTAGAAAAATTTAAAAAATGTTTTTGTTTTTTTATTTTTTTAATTGATTCATTTAATTGATTATTTTTATTGAATAATTTATTAATATCATTATTTTTATTAATAATAATATTTTCATTTAAATAATAATTTTTATTATTATTATTAATAGGAAATTGTTTTAATTTTATTAAATTTAAATTATTTTTTAAATTTTTAAATTTAATAAATTTTAAATATGTTTCATAATTATTTAATTTTTCTTTTAATAAATTATTAAATGAATTTAATAAATTAATTTTTAAATTATTTGGTATATAAATAATTAAATTAATTAATCTTAATTGTATTAAATTAATAAATTGATACAGTGTTAAAAATGACATAAATGATTGATAATTATAATAATTATTATTATATTTTGTATAGTAACTTAATATATATCTTTGTGCATTTTTTATATTCATATAATATATTATTGTATTAGATGTATTTGATATAATAGTAAATAAATATTTTGGATATTTAAATAAAAATTCTAAATCACCAATACATAATGAACCTAAAATGATAAAATACAGAAACATACAATATTGAATTTAATAAATATACAAACAAAAATATATTAGAAAGGTAAATGTAAATCTATAGAAATCTTATTTGATCTTTTTTATCATCCACCTTTGATTATAAAACTTGTGACTTCAGGTAATATCGAGGCAATACGCATAGGATGAATATTTGCCAAGAAGAGGCTGATCAATTACAGTCTTAAATAACAATGAGAAGATACAAGTAAGTGAATTTAGACTTCATCTCATTTGTACAAGCAGGTGGCTATCAGGACTCAGTAGCTAAATGGATAATGCAATGACATTTGAAGCGAACGGTACTGGGTTCGAGTCTCAGAGTGAACAGCAACTGTGAGATACAGGTACATCCAGCTGACGAGTCCTAAACAAGACGAAACATATATCCTGGATTCCAGTACTAGCCAGTATTCAACTTTGCTTATAAAGCTTGTCTTATCATTGTTTTAAATGTTCCTTCAAGATATTAGTAGTAACACTTTTCCAACTAGTTATTTTGTTTCACATTTTATCGTCTTCATAATAAGTAGAGTTAAGTAGATGATTTCATGTTTTCATTGATTTGATTTAAAATTTCCTGACAATAGTTTTATTTTCATTGTACTTTTATTTCAAGTCAATACGTTTCTATTGAAGAAATGTGAATTTACATTCAATATAATAAGTGTGAACTGATACCTACTGTGATAGTTATATTCCTTATCTTATTCTAAGTGAAATTTGTGTTTGTTTTTTTACCGTAACTCATTGTATTATTTCATTTATATGATATTTAATTACTAATCATCAAGTGTATTTGTAAAATCAGTATATAAGCGAGTGTATCCGGATATCAACTCCGGATCTCTCAAAAAAGGAGGTGTTGTATCCCGTGGAGAATTATGAATGGTAACTTTGAGGACTATTTATAGACCAATATGATATGTATATTTCCTATTGTATAATTGTTGAGTAACTAAACTATTCATATTCGTGTCTCTTTTATTATGAGCTTTATTTTGAACTATAGACTATTATTATACGATTTACCATTCTTGAGTTAGCCCTAGTCCATTAATTTCTGTTCCCCCTATTCATAGCCACATTTGGCTAAATCTTGTACAAATGTTATTTCCTATTTAATTGGTACTATGTGGTCTGTTTGATTGGTATATAAACCCAGTATGTTTGAGAATAATTATTCATATCGCAGAGGCTGTTATTGGTGTTCTGGAATTAACTTACTGGGCTAGGCTGAGAGCAGGACTGAGTTGTGCTCAAGACTGCTCATACAGCTTTTTTGTATCATTGGGCGATCGATAAATCATTGCTCTCTAATTGATGGTGTCATAACGTTCATATAATAATTGGACACACACACGTTATAACAGATAAAAGATGAGTTTGGACGACTTGTTTTGAGGTGTTTTTAGAAACTTTATAAATCTTTATTTCCAATAGTCTCTTTTTTAATACTATGCTTTTGTGGGAGTTGTATTGGTTCCCATTTCCAAGCAAAAACAAAAATATATAACAGAACAACAAAGCTGATATTTACAAAGCAGAGGCAACTCTAGAAATAACAGTGGGAATGCGAATATAATAATGTGATTCACAAGGAAGTAAATACTATATAGAATGATTAAAATTTCACTTACAAAACAGTCAATAAACTTTCTTTATCAATTTAAACGTTGTATTTATCACCACCTCATTATATCGTAATAACTTAAATCTTAAATAGCAAAAAGTAAGTTGGTAATGGGTGCTACACACACAGATTTTCTGCTTTTAATGGATTAGTTGAAGTTAGACATTAACTCCATTGGATGCCAGCTCAGTGGTCTATTGGTTAAGGGCTTCGGCTTGAGACTGGTAAGTCCTGGGTTCGAATCCCGCGAGAGTGGGTTCGTGGATGCGCACTGCTGAGGAGTCCCACAATAGGACGAAACGGCCGTCCAGTGCTTCCGGGTTTTCCATGGTGGTCTAGCTTCAATTGACTCATGAATTCAACTTTGAAAAGATATAAAAAGTCTTTTTTTAACTTCAGACCAATTACCATTTCATGTCACTTGTAGATTATACTTCCAATGTCAGTAAATTCAAATAAAATTAAATCCTTGGCATTAATAAATTGCATCCATAGATACTGTCCTAAAGTCTCATAGTTGTTTGATGCCTTCTGAAAAAATTAATAAAGTTGCCATTTAAAATATATTAGCTACAGTATGACACAATTTTTTTTATAAAACTGTAATACATCTTCACAGTTTCAGGAATATTTATGTATGCTATTGTTTAAATTTCGTAGTCTCCGTTTGAAATGGTTATTTTTTCCATGAATTTCACCGTAATATTCACTGATCTCCTTAATAAAATCATTAACTTCATTTGGTATTGTCTGGTTGAATCTTCCCACTGATTTTTAATATTGGAACTGATCAGTCCCTTATTGGCATATGTGCAATACTGTTAGTATTGCCTCGACATTGCTTTCATTCACAAGCATTATAAGCAAAGATCGATAGTGGATAACAATAGCTCAATGCATTACGCGATGGCATTTGAAGCCAAAGGTATTGGTTTTGAGTCTCAGGGTGAACATTAGATCCGAGATACAGGTAAATCCAGCTAACGAGTCCCAAATAGGATGAAACACAAGCCATGGATTGCACTGCTAGCCATTATCCATTTTTGTTTATGAAATCACTAACTGTTTATAAGTTATCTCAATATATACTAATTATTTATAAGTAATATAATAAGTTTATTGAGAATATATCTAAACAAAATAATTTCCGTTTTTCTGGATACTTCAATTTTCATAAACATACACTAATTCAGATAAATCTTTAATTTAATTATTTAGAATCTAGAACCACTGAACTGGCATCCAACGGTGTTTATGTCAAACTTCAACCAATCCACGAAAACCCCATCGGATTATCTTCATTTCTAATAAGAATTGAATAAATCTAAACTTAAACTGTTGTTTGTCAAAGTAAAATGTTTTTACTTTAGCTTTTGATTGTTGGAACCAGTTGATCTGAATAATCGTCTTGAATGATTTATTGTACAATTACACCGATCAGTATAAGTCATTCATTTATCCACTTTGTCATCTTGATTTCAATTTGATTAAAATATATGGAGAGAACTGTTACTTTATCTCTAAACACTAACTGTAAGGACGGCTAATAGGTAAACTCTAGGAAGCTTCAAGAAGCCAAGAAAGAGCCGAAGACATTCCATCCAATCACTGCTAGGGGAATATTCTAGAACGTCGACGTGTTGCTTCCCTATTAGATGGATAAGAATGACCCCCTATGTGCCTATTGGTTATCCAAAATGATGATTTAATCTCAGTCAAAAACTATAAATACATGAAATTTCTGTACTATATTTTGACACTGTTTTGGGGAATAAACTTCCTACTTACTAGTCTTCTGTCTTCTCTCTTGCGACGTTGAGGGTTCGATCGTTCAAGTAGTCTAGTAGTACGCGGCATATAAAGAATCAAAGCTCTAGATATAACACTAACAACTTCCAGTTACAAGTTAGGCGTTTTTTTCTTATACGCTTCTCATACGTTTACTGAGATAAAAAGAATATCCCATGAGGAAGCAGTCGTAGTTATAGAGTGGATTTGTACATTGACAGTACAATCTGTTCTTTTCATTATAAGTTGTTGGATATCTGTTGCTCTGTATTTCCATATCTGTTTATTTCAGTGATTTATACTGGTAATTTGGTTTTTGTTAGTGGTTCGAACACCGTTATGATGCACATCGCTTTGTAGTGTACCGGGCATCATAACAGCCACAATTACATACCAAGTATATTGGATGATAATCATTTCTATTCGAAATATGAATAAATGCAGTGGAGAGACACATTTATTAAACAACAGAATATTAATTTTCAGTCAATGAATTGATTTTGAAGTGTAAAGAATTAGGACTAACCTGTTTTCTCAGGTGTATTAGGATTGGATCCATTCATCAATGGTAGATCATATTTTACAGATCTAGAATTATTTCGGTAAGTCGTAGAATTTTGAAAATGTTTCACATGAAGTTCTATTCGGAGTTCACCTCTTCGGATGAAAATACAAGAAATTTAAACAAATAGTAATAAAGAAAAAAAACTGTATAAAATGTGAATTTTTTTCAGATAAAGGTGATTTATAAGAGCTAACGAGTTGCTTCAAGGTCACGCCGAAGTTTAAGATAACTGAGCAGAGAGAATCATAATAAAACCGAATCCTTGTACCAAGTTATAAACCTAAAACATAAAACCTGATTATAACTGTAACCATGCGTTCTGCATCTTGATTATAATATAACCCCGAATCCCAAGCTCTACATGTTGATCTTAAATCATTCATTCCTACTCTTTTTCTGACTGATTGGATAGGGTCGCTTTCTTGATTGGATCACTTTTAGAAAGCCAGCTTTAGTGTTTGTTAAGCATTTGTTTTACCAAAGTATTCAGGTACCACATTATTTATTATTGTACAATATCAGGTATAATTAGAAAACTAAGTCATGAACATCTATGTTGCAGCACGCGAGACTGAAACCTGGGGCCTTCAGTCTCACACGCAAAGGCTAAGTTGGCATCCAATGGTGTACAAGTCTAATCATGGCGAGTGTGAGGTAGTTATCCAGTGAAGGAAATGGAAGATGGTCGTACAATATCGTAGGCTGATTAGAGTTATACATCAACACCGTCGGACACGGTATCATTGGTCTGGAGGCTAAGCGTTCGCGTGCGATACTAAAGACCCTGGGTATGGGTCCCGTGTGCGGAGTCATGGTTCGGCACTTCTTGAAAGGTCCCATAATAGGACGGAATAGCCTTCCAGTGCTTCCATGTTTTCAATGGTGTTCTACCATTGATCGTTTCATGCTTTCAATAAAGATCAACAATCTCCATAATCCTATGCTGGAAGTTTATGATTATCACGGTAAATTTCCAACTTCGATCAATAATTACTTGAAATTATCATCGTCGTCATGATAACATTTATTATTCTTACTATCACACTTGTTTTATTATAGTTTTTATCATGGTATCCAATCTTCTCTGAACTAATTGTTTTTCTACATACACAAAAATCATTCTTTTATCTATCTGTTTATCACCAACTTAATCTTCTAAACTTATATAAACTTTACAAATCTTCTACAAAACTATTACGTAATTCATTATAAACAAAGTTGGATAGTGACTAGCACTGGAATCTAGGACGCGCGTTTCGTCCTATTTGGGACTCGTCAGCTGGATGTACCTGCATCTCAAAGTCAATGTTCAATGTGAAACTCGAACCCAGTATCTTTCGCTTGAAATGCCATCACGTTATCCGCCCAGCTACTAAATCCTGATAGCTATATCGAGTCAATATGCACAATATGCACATATGTCAATAAGAGACTGATCAATTTCAGTCTTAAACATCAATGGGAAGATTCAAAAAACACCAAATGAATTTAAACTTTACCTCATTGTACAAGCAAGTGGCTATCAGGACTCAGTAACTAGGTGGATAACGTGATCGCGTTTGAAGCGAAAGGGTACTGCGTTCAAGTCACAGAGTGAACATCAACTCAGAGATGTAGGTGCATCCAGCTAGCGAGTCACAAATAGGATAAAACGCGCGTCCTGGATCCCATCGCTAATCACTGTTCATCTTTGCTTATAATGCTTATGAATGAAAGCAATGTCGAGGCAATATGCACAGTATGCACATATGTCAATAAGAGACTGATCAATTTCAGTCTTAAACATCAATGAAAAGATTTAAACAAACAATACCAAGTGTATTACGTAATTCATTTTATCAATTTCCGGACTGAATATCATTTTTGTATTATACTCTTTAGTTTCAGAATTCTTTCTTCCAAAGATGTTACATCTGTTTATTCATAGATATATATATAATTGAAGGCGTGATTCAATTGAAGCTAGACCACCAAGGAAAACCTAGAAGCCCTTGACGGCTGTTTCGTCCTAATGTGGTTTTCCATAGTGGTCTAACTTCAATTGACTCACGCTGTCAACTATGAAAATACTAAATCTCCACAAAAAAACCCCTTCTGATAACATATATGTATATATATATAGAGATAGAGATTTACCTTTGAATAAAGTATAAACCATTGAATATACTATTTTGTTTTAAAATGATTTGATTATATTCATAGGTTTGTTTAATTAAACTCATAGCAATTTGTTTTTTTATTTTATCTGATAAATGTTGAAAATAAATTATATTTTTAACATATTTTATCCTTTCATAAAATTCTTTTTCAATGGCTTGACGTACAGTATTATTATATAATATTCTTGATATATTGATTAAACAAACAGATTGTTTTATTGGTAATAGGTGGTGTTGTTGTTGTTGTTGTTGCCTCTGTTGTTGTTGTTGTTCGTGTTGTTGTTGATTAGATGGTTCATATTGGTTGAATTCAATAGTATTTGGTAAAGCTAAAATACTTGCAGTTCTTAAACAATCTTCAATTAATGCAACTTCACCAAATACTGAACCAGCTTCTAAGATAAATAATAAAAACAGACTATAGGGAGAATAGATACATAAATGAATGCATTCAATAAGATAATTTACTTGGATATTGACAGAATGAATTGTGTATCTACAACGATGACTGAAATTATGAAATCTGGTTGTTATAGTGAAAGGAAATGAAATAATATTCTGATGGGAATAGATAATGTTTAGGAAATGAAACAATTATCCACTGATTCCTAATTTTCAATGGATATCTAAAGAAATTCAGTTCTTGATGTTAAACTTTCATGTTCCTCAATTCAACTATACGATATTTCAGAAGGGGTTTTGTGGAGACTTAGTATTTTCATTTTTGAAAGCATGAGTCAATTTAAACTAGACCATAAAGGAAAACCTGGGAGCATTGGATGGCCGTTTCGTCCTATTGTGGGACTCCTCAGCAGTGCGCGTCCACGACCTCACCTCGGGAGATTCGAACCCAGGACCTACCAGTCTCAACTATGAAAATACTAAATCTCCACAAACCCCTTCTGATACTGATCATATACTCACTAGTGGCTGACTTCAAGATACATGTCCTGGAGTTCTAGTGAGAAGCAGTGACCAGTGGAGTTCAAACCACGTCTGTTGTGAGATAGGAACTCACTGAAGACAATTGGTGAACGGTTGCACAACTTCGTGGATTGGTTAAAGTTAGACATTAACACCATCGGATGCCGGCTCAGTGGTCTATTGGTTAAGTGCTCGTGTGCGAGACTGGTAGGTCTTGTGTTCGTGGAGGCGCACAGCCGAGGAGTCCTACAATAGGACAAGTTGGTCGTCCAGTGCTTCCAGGTTTTCCATGGTAGTCTAGCTCCAAATGACTCATGCTTTCAACTATAAGTCATTTCATTAACCAAAATATTAAGCATGAGACTGTTATCAAGATTTATTTCAAGTGCAAAATCAAGATATGGTGAGTAGTTAATTACAACTAACGCCTTCAATTGTCTCAAACTATTATGAAACGGCGTAACAGCGTCCCTTGCTTTTCTGTAATTCTCTAGCTCATTAAAAGACTAGTTTTAAAGGAAATCTAATGTAGAATGGTTTTGCATATGTAAAAAATATCTGGTTTCAAATATATGAAATTGTTACTTATCATTTTGTTTAAGGAGTGACATCTACCCGAAATTTGTGCTGATGATGTCATTCAGAAGGACAATGAAAACTCCAAGATCAAACCATCCACCTTAGAGAATAAAACTCTATCAAAATCATCCACCTCAGCCACAAATCTTTTCTACCATCTCAAAATTATTTAGATCTATTCATATTAGTTAACACTGTCAGAAAACTATTAATTTCAGAAACATCCAATGGAAATTTAAACAAAATAAACGTAAAGTAGTAAACACATTGTAAAACCTATGTGAAACATTTTACTGTACACACTTCAATTGCTGAGAAATCAATCCTTTGTTTGTTTTTCCTTACAAACTATACAATTACCATTCTTTCTTTATTAAATTTCAATCTGACGCACTAAATTATGTAAAAATACCAATACTATACTACTTTTCTGTGTTAACTAATGGTTGTTATTGGTTACAGTAGTATAGAAAGTATTATAGTGTAATGTCACTTTAATACAGATTCCTTAGATTATATGTATTAGATTGATGTTCACCAATAATGGATCTCATAATGACAATAAAGGAGAAAAGTGGAACAGTTGATTTTTAAGAGTTACATCAACTACATTCCTTTCTAACATGGAAACCTACTCAAATTTAATTAGATCAAGTTGTTAGTATTATCAAAAGAGTAAATTGTAATAAGATACTTTGAATACAATAGTAGTATATATGGTCTATGTAATAATTTGTTAAGGAGTTTTCCTGTAATTTGATCACTATTTCCATTTTAACAACAAGAAACCATAGTAACTTGTTAAATTATTCACCATTTACATACATATATACATATATATGACAAAATTAAAGCACACTGAAAACCCCGTACTAAAACCTCTGTAGGTAAATCACCTGAAAGTTTGTAAAAAAAATCTAGAATTAAGAATATTAGTTAACTGGTTTAAAAAAATTTGCAGTATTTTTTTCTTTTATGTATTGTCTTAAATTTTGAAAAGTGGACATAGGGTATTTGTTTGGATAGTGAATCGATGTGGAACCAATTTTGTGTGTAAATGACATTATAGAGATTATTGAGTCGTTCATTCAACAGTCCCATATGTCAACAGTGACTGATCAAAATGTAAGGTAGTTGTTAGAGGTAGACAACAGGAAATCTTGGTCAACCTAGATCTCATGATATGTTGCATTCATCAGGAAGGTGTACATAAAGTCTTGAAGGAACTAATATTTCCTAGTTTTTTTTCTATCACATATCACTCAGCCTCCCCGTTGAGCTAATCAGTACGCTACTGATTGATCAGAATTTTGGTTCCAAGCATTGAACTCGAAAATATATAAAGCAGCGACCAGTGGAGATATCAACTCACTGAAGACAATTGGTGAACGGTCGCTCAAACATCGTGGATTGGTTGAAGTTAGACATTAACACCGTTGGATGCCGGCTCAGTGGTCTATCGGTTAAGTGCCCTGGCGCGAGACTGATAGGTCCCGGGTCCGAATCTCGCGGGTGCGGGATCGTGGATGCTCACTGCTGAGGAGTCCCATAATAGGACGAGTTGGCCGTCCAGTGTTTCCAGGTTTTCGATGGTTGTCTAGCTTCAACTGACTCATGATTTCAACTATGAAAATATATGAAATTATATGAATAATAATGAATTAGCATATTAATGAATGATGTGGAAAAGTAAGTAAGACAGTTCATCTTTAATCGATCAGCAATGATTACTACTAAATGGTGATTCCATTAGTTAACTATCATGTTTAGTTTCAAACCCGATTTGGTTATTTGATGTAACAGAAATAAGCCAAAATATGACGAACATTCAAATGCTTTTTGCCTTTAAGCGTTCAATCAGAATAGTGACTGTGGCCTCTTAGATATAATAATGCCTTGTTTGTATAAATCTCACAGATTGACTGATGAAGAACTTTAAAGGAATAAAATGAATTATAACCATAGAGATTGCAAAGTTATCTGTGTACTAGTGAAGACTAGTCAGAGAAAGAATTACAATTTCACTTAGGAACAATCTGTTATTTGTTAAGAAATTCAGTGTAGGTTCCTACTATACACAATTTATTACTTAATTTTGCGATTCTGAAATACAGCTGTATAATTAATTAGATTTGTGTTGGGTGAGTGGTCTACAGGTTAGGAATTTTCATGGGAGTCCAAAGGTTCTGAATTTGATTACCAGACGCGGGGTCTTAAATACTCACTAATGAGGTGACTAATAATAAGGTGAAATGTGTATCCGTTGCTTTCAGGTTTTCAATGGTGGGCTAAGTAAGGCCAGTTCATGATTTAAATTACAAAGATTCCACAATCTCCACAAATCCTCTGATTGTATGCAACTAATTATCCTGAAGCAATTCCAGCATCTCAAGATTTAAGTTCTGGAAATATCTATTCTGACCACTGAATAATAACTGGCTTGTCAACAATGATTTTTTGTTCTTTTTTGGTGGTACAAATTCACTTTTGATATAGATAGAGTAACAGCAAGAAGACTAATGTTATCACTTATTCCACAAAACCAGGTCCAATAGTCTTATATGTAACCTTTATTCGTTAAACCTCCGTTATCAATAATAATAATAATGTTAGAAATAAGCATTCGAGTACGGTAAAGCAGTGAAATGAAAATAAAACTGAGTATATATATATATACTTAATTACCTAGTTGACCGACTTGAGGCCCGAGTTCTTCGTTAACAGTGTCTGAAACATTTTGTTTAACAGGTATAAAACTGTTGGATTTAACATTCACTAATTCATGTATCTCTTCATTTGGTACAGCGTTTTGATCTCTACGATAATGAACCGATACACGACCAGAGAGTAATACATACATGCTAAACAGTATATGGTTAAAATTTAAAAAAAATCAATGAATATAAGTTAGCATATCAAATTGTTTAAAAATTACTGCTCACATTAGTTGTCATTATAAGCGATTTTTTGCATCACGAGGCAAGCCCTAACTTGGAATCTGGAATGGAGGCGGAAAAGAGGAAGGCCAAAGAACATATTACGCCGGGAGATAGAAGCAGATATGGAAAGGATGAATAACGACCGGAAAGAACTGGAAAGAATTGCCTAGGACAGGATTAGATGGAGAATGCTGGTATGTGGCCTATGTTCTACCACGAGGGGTAACAGGCGTAAATAAGTAAGTAATAAGCGATTTTCAAAGGCCCTTAGTGTTATAATTTCTTCACAAAGGAACTGAACATGTAAAATGGTTCATCATTACAAATAAACTGATAAGATTTCGAGGGGTTAGATTTAACAAAGATTCAATTCAAAGTGAATAAATAGTTTCCATAAATTAAGAAAAGATCAAAACTTAGTAGTAACTTTTCTGATCATTATATTGAGTGATGAGGTTTGAAATTCCACAGGGAGCATTATTTTCCTCAAGATTACATGGATGACTTAATGACGAGTACTAACTAGCATTAAACCTAGGTTCAGGGTTTCCTACAGTCTTTTCCAAACGACCTAACTTATGAACTTAATGTACTTGATTGTGAGTCACCTTGACTGGTGAAAGGATTACAACTTAACCAAGAAAATTCGATCAGCACATAGGGACTAAGAAAACGACCACTCAGTGGTAAATCAATGTAAATATCTCAGTCACTCCCTGACCACATAGCTCAGTGGCAAAACTGAAGACTGTAAAGCTGCATGACTTGAGTTTGGTTTTCACGAGGAACGTCAATTTCTTCAAGCTTGCAAGTACGTCTTGCTGAAGATTCCTAACTGCCGTGAAACCTAGGTCCTGGATTTTCTATCAACTACGTCCAACCACTTAGCATCTAAACAAGATTTCCATTTTAGTTTACAGTTGAAAAGCAGTTAATCTAAATTAATTTAATTATGATTTGGCGCCTGTGCATATTGCAGAATCTATTTAGGCTTGGCAGCCATAGAGCTTACGAATATTATAGCTATATAGAACAATATGCTATAAACAATAATTGGACTACAGTATCATTAAAAAATTAGTGTTTCACAGATTACACAGTCTCTATTGTATTCTCTGATATACTCAACATAAAAATATATTACACGTATTATGGTTTTCAATATTATGATACTTCTACTGCTCCCTGAGACTGATGTTTTGTGATTAAAGTACTGCTTTGCATATTTATTGAGGCAGTCCGAGGAAAAACTGCCAGAATATCCTCCCTGATTACTTGTAGATGCAAGTTGTATTGTATTAATTAGATTGATATTCATATTTCCAATGTTTGGTTTCATATCAAAAATTTATTCAGCAAATCGTTTTTGGAAGGAATATCAAACTAAAAAATGACTTGTATTTATTAAACCTTTTATATCCACGTTAGACTGCTTCAAGTGTAGAGAATGGCAATGTTATTTTCTTATCAAACTTCACTGTGGTTGATAAATATAATGACATTACCGATTTTCATACATTTATTCCTACACTACTGATAGCTTCATACAATCATTGAGAACTATCATATCTGTTAACGCTGTATAACCTCTTTTATCTGAGTGAATTTGATTCGATCTTTATATGACTTCATCTTAATACATTAACAAATATGAATAGAAATTATTTTGAATTCACTTGGTATTGTTTGTTTGAATGTTCCCATTGATGTTTAGCACTGCAATTGATCAGTGTGTTATTGGCATATGTACATACTGTGCGAATTGCCTCGATATTGCCTCAATTGACAAGCATTGTAAGCAGAGATGGATAGTGGCTGGCAGTGGAATCCAGGACGCGCGTTCCGTCCTATTTGGGACTCGTCAGCTGGATATACCTGCACCTCGGAGTTGATGTTCACTCTGGGACTCGAACCCAATATCTTTCGCTTCAAACGCCATCGCGTTATCCAGTCATCTACTGATTTCTGATAGCCACTTGCTTGTGCAAGTGAACATCAACTCCGTGATGCAGGTACATCTAGCTGACGAGTCCCATAAAGGACGAAAAGCGTGCCCTGAAATCCAGTGCTAACCACTGTCCATCCTTCCTTTGAAATTATTTTGTTCATTAGGTATAATTCGACTTATTACTGAAAAAACCCATGGAGGCCACCTCATATCGAGTAATGGAAAAAAAGCTTACCAGTCACCAATATCGCCTTCTCGAATTATTATCTCATGGGGATATTTGAATTCCGCTTTACATTCAGCTACCAGTTTCATGAGTATCTCTGAAAATAAAATAAAATGTTTACCGTTAAATGAAGATGATTGTAAATCATTTAACAAATAAACGATTGGAGGATATATCAACTGTCTAATGCAATTAATATCATACTATTAGGTTTAATTATTACCATATCACATCACCGGTGAGAAATGATGTGACAATGGTAAAACAGTAATACTGTTGTGTATGCTACCTATATCGATAGATGTAACCCAATCGGAAGCGGAAAACCTGGTAGCAGAAGGCTAAGAAGATCGAGTTGAAAAGAATGGAAGAGAAAATAGAAAAGAACTATGGACTGGAAGAATTATACAGGATGTGTAGGAAAAGTGATATGAATCTGCAAATGAGGTATTTAATGTATGATTCTCATACCATAGTAAGAGATTTTGTAGTTTTGTGTTGAAATACAATCGATAGTTCCCACTGGTGTTCTCGTTCACAGAGATACATTTGACTTGAGTTATATCATTTTTAGGTTTTCTCGCAAATTTTGATACGCTCTCGTTTAGAGATAGCAAATCACTTTTTTATAGATGCTTGATTACCAGAAGAGCTTGAATTTTCAGTATCATCCCTTCTCTTTAGTCTGAACATTTTTCACTCAAACTTCTACGGAAATATTGACATGACTTCATATCTTGTTACTCCAATAATTTCAAAATGGTTTATAGCACCGGTTGACCTTAACTGATAACTTGAATTAAAACCAGAGGGCATTGGGCAATTGTTTCCTACCAATATGGAACCACTTAGTTGTAGATTCGAATGACCTTGAAGCAACTGAACTCAGTATCATTAGTAAATAAATAATATATTTGTAATATCCCAATGAGTAGAAAAATTAGATTTTCTGACGTTTCGTGACTCAGTGTAAGCCACTTCTTCAGAGAATAAATAACCAAATTAACATTAATCCAAGTTTAAATAGTACAACGGAACAATCCAAGAATATTAGGTGATCAATCAAAAAGCAGGTTTGAATAAATCAATGTCACGTCATTTCATTTCGGTCAATATCATTAGTCAGTATCATTAGGTCTCACTTTAAGAATATTACCGTTAGACTTCTGAGTTAGGATCCAGTGATTTACATTTCTAACCTTAATCAACTCACCATATTGCGCAGTCACCTTCAAGCTCTATTGCTGAACAACAGCTTCACTCTCAGCATAGTTAAAATTCATTTTTGTACTGCTTTGTTTTTATAACCACAGCTCTTGTACTTTGTTTCATTGTCGGACATTGGTTTCATTAGCTGATTATTGATGCAACCGACTAAATACAGAATTACCAAGAGTATTTTAAACGTTGATAATTCAATTTCTACTTATAACAGTTAATTTTGTAACACTGATCTAACAAACATGATGCTTCAAAGAACTGCAATTTCATATTTGATTTATGAAATATACCTTATTATAAACTTTGTAAAAGAACCAAATAAATTAGAAGACAGTTCTCATCAAAGATTACCATCATCTGAAGAACTAACATAAGCTAGAAAATAGTATCATTTTATAGTCTAAGTCTCATCAGTAGTACGTATACAACACCAAAAGTTCACATTTTTAACTTCAGTAAATTACTGATTTTAGACGATAATCATTCAAATTATTCAGTTAATGACAACCTTACACTTGGTACAATTGAAATCTTATAAATGAAGTCATGAGTCAATTGAAGCTAGACAACCATGGAAAACCTGGAAGCACTGGATGACCGTCTCGTCCTATTATGGGACTCCTCAGCAGTACACATCCACGATTCCACCTCGCGAGATTCGAATACATGACCTATCAGTCTCACGCGCGGGCGTTTAACCTCTAGACCACCGAGCCGGCATCCAGCGGTGTCCTGGGTTCGAATTTCGCGAGACGGGATCGTGGATGCGCACTGCTGAGGAGTCCCAAAATAGGACGAAACAGCCTTCCAGGTTTTTCATGGTGGTCTAGCTTCAATCGACTCATGATTTCAACCATAAAATTACTAAAATCTCTAAAGAAAACCCCTTCTGATAATAATTGAAATCTATTAATCATGTTATATAACTGAGCAATAACTGAAATGGTTCAATGTAAGGTAAAGAAGACAAACAGATGAAGAGTTATTATAAACTAAGAACAAGGATAAACTTATGTTTAAATACATTAAGCTGAATATACTTAGATTACATCGATCAATAATTGAAGTTTAAATAAATTGAACTGGGCATTCATAGACTTTAATTAATCAATAACAAAAATAGATAAAGTTAATTTACAATATTGTATGATGAATCAGTAATAAAACCAAAAACAATGTAACTAATTCACCAAGTTAAATGATTACCTCATCTTTACAGGTTACAATTTTTGACTGAAATTTTAACAAATCTTCTTAAAACTATTAATTGTTACTCACATTGTAGTAAACAGAACACTGGTTGCGAAAATACATTCTATGTCTGACCAACACCATATACTACTTATATGGATATAAGTAGACCACACTACAACATGAGGGATAGTTGATACCTGTATTAAGTTTAGATTAATTGTACTATGCTCTCTGTTAAACGTTAAGGTTAGCGAATTCGATAATATTATCTAAGGTTGTGGGTATCTGTTAGGAATGATTCAAAACTTGAAATGAAACATCTATTCAGTATTCCATTGTTTATGGGGACTATTTAACTTATAACAATCAACTTGATAAATTGAATGAATTAAACAAATCTGCTGCTCTGTTAACATTGATTATTTCTATTTTTCTAGTTGAAATTTATATGGAATGAAACAATAATTGTATACGATGTAACAGTCTACATTGGATTTACATTACATTGAGATCATGAAGCGTCCTAGGTTAGACAATGACTGGAGACCTAGAAGCAGTGAACGACCGTTTCGTCCTAGATGGAACTCCTCAGCGAAGCCTACTTATGACTCAACACGGGGAAATTAAACAAAAGGTATTCGGTCTCTCGTGCAAATGCCAAACTTTCAGATGACCGAGCTAGGATCCAACGACGTTGATGCCTAACTTCAGTCAATCGATGACATTACCTGATCATCTATTTTCTTCAGCCTTTTAGTGCTTCCAGGTTTTCGATAGTTCTCTAACTTAGATCGGTTCTTGATTCCAATTGAATTTAACAATCTCCGCAACCCCGTACTGACAGATATACATTTTAAAAGTTGAATTTATGGGTCAATTCAAGCTAGGCCACCATTTGTCAAGAGTTTTTCAACATAATCCAGTTAATTTCTTCTCGATTCAAACACAATTAAACTATTTAAGCCACTAAATAATTGTTAATTTATCTATGGAAGACTAATACCCATTTCGTGAACTATAGGATACTGAAATCATTAATATTGACCGATGAATCAGCAGACGAGTACCGACTGAACCAAAAACTTAAACCGGAAATTAAAATAAGTAGTATCAAGGATTAGTTAATTGATTAGATTTATCTACTTTAAATCATACTGTTACTGATGAGAAGGAAAACCGACCATATGACTATTGATCACATTATATATAATTAATCAGTTGCGGATAAAAAATGTGAACCAATCCTCAATTTTCCTTAGGGATAAACTGTTGCAAAATCCTATATATTACACTAAAACAGTAGTTCAATACATTTCAGTCAGTCAGTCAGATACAACGTAGGATCAGGCACATTTATACATCGTTCTAAGTTGCCATACCTCGTTAGCACAACAAGATGAACAGCGAATTCATAAAAAAAGTTAATTTAGTGGTGTTAATATATAAAAGAAAGGTTGTATATAAGGATATAGTATAGGAAGGAAGATAGATTTGAAGCAATTTTAATCTCAAGATTTAAGGGAAGACGGAAGGTGTATACACCTGCGCCATTGTGATCGATTCTCAGACATGTAACCTAGAGTCAAATAGATTTGATTTTCAGTAGTTATTTAAGTAATATCAATTCTTTATGTAACACTACACATTTCAACATGATTATAAGTAATTGAAATCAACTTCAACTTATCATATATCATTACATCAAATTATAAACATACCTATAGAAACATCTTTAAATGCCATAATATTCTCTTTAAACCATATTGCTATATGCCTTATTTCAATAGCTGTTCTCATATTATTTGGTTTAATTAAAACTTCTACCAAATCATTAGAAAGTGATTGTTTCATTTTTCACACATTAAATTGTTTTAATGTTTAAAAATTTAACAATTTAAAGTGAATTATTTCTTTTTTCACAGTTTAATTCTGATTGGTTGATTTTTTTATCCAATCATATCGCTAGTAAGTACTTTTCAACTGAATTATAGACTAAATTGTCATTTATGATTTCGAGTTAAATTAGTGAAATGAATTTGTTTTTATCCATAAACTGTCTTTTAAATTTTAGGAATCATTTTAAAAAAGCATAACCAACACCATATTTATCATCGGATTTGTTTTCTGTCATTCAAAGAGGATAACTGTTAGATTGAAGCATTATAAGTAAAGATAGATAGTAGCTAGCAGTGGAATTCAGGACGCGCGCCACTTTGTCCTATTTGGGACTCGTCAGCTGGATGTACCAGCATATCAGAGTTGACGTTTACTCTGGGACTCGAACCCAGTACCATTCGCTTCAAACGCCATCGCATCATCTACTATCCATCTTTGCTTATAATGCTTGTGAATTAAGGCTATATCGAGGCAATACACACAGTATGCACATATGCCAATAAGAGACTGATCAATTGTAGTGTTAAATATCAATGGGAAGATTCAAACAAATAATGTCAAGTGAATGTTATATAGAAGATTATACTAACGTTACTGTAAGGGAATCAATACATTTTTATAGTTAACGGATTAAAATTTTATGGTTAAACGAAAATCACTTTCAAAAATTTTTTACGAGTAACTTATGGAAAACTAAATACTCAAATTACATGATATATCAGTTATTTCTTACTAACGCAATATTCACATCAAGTCCGTTATAAGTTTGCGTTGGATGAGCAAGGAGTTAAAAACAAATGATTCTTCTTGTAAATACAATTGTTTGGCCAACTTGATAAGTGAAAAAAGTAGCCAATAAACTCTTCTTAACGTCTGCAAGCAAATTTCTAGATGTGCAGCAAAATATCCTATTTAAGATACTCCATATTTTCGAATTCCATCTAAATCAACTTTGGTAAAAGATAATTCAGTCGGCTTATGTATTGCATAGGTTTCACATAAAAGCAAAGATAAAACATATGTCAGGTATAATAGTACAAGCGAAGAGTGTGTAAATATCCAAGCAACCAAATGAGGCCTGTCTTTTTCCTTATGACGTTAATTCTTTGCATTAGATTTTGAGCTAAAAAACAAATAATTAGACTGATTGAAAAATATCAGACTTTTTCTTTTACTTGACGTAATATAATGCTACTTCGAAACTGGTGCTCCATAATTTACTGGTATTTTTACTTCACTTTGACTGTCAGTCCAAACTAAAGCATATTTTACAACAAATTTATTCTCAGTACGCTTGTCCCATCAATAGTTTTGCATTAAAATATTACTACTTACACTTTGTTAGTAGTCAAGTTGTTATAACATAATTTCTGAACTTACTTATTAAACAGTTTGAAAATATTCTAAAGAATAACTTGACAAAGCTTTGCTCATGTTTGACTCAAGCGTTTTAAATCTTTGGTTCATATTCCTTGATAGAATACTTCGTTCCGGAATATTTGTAGTAAATGTCGGGAGAGTATTACAGAAAATCGTTGTATTTATCAAACGTTTAAATTAGTGTTTACTAACAACGTCCTTCATTTTTCAAGAACTCCAGTAGTAATGATATCACATAAGTTACTAAATTATGTTCTTGATAACATTGTTTTATTTGAGGCGTTTCATACCTTGCAGGCTCTCGGTAAGACTGTGACATATGTATATTTTTAGTGATTTCTTAAGGTAAGGTTACCAGTTATTGAACTGTTTATACAAAAATTGTAAACATTAAGTATTTTTCAAGTTTATGTTGGTTATAAATACATACGAAAACATGGAAGTTGTGAATGGTATTAAATTCTTAGCTAAGGACTGATTAACTCATCACGGGATCAAACTCAATACCTTAGAGTACCGAAGCTCACGCGATATTTTCATACCACACAGTTTGGATATAATGGCCTGCCATTGTATATGAGGTAACAAAATTTTTCAGACTGGAAATCAAGTACATGTAATACACAGAAAGTAACAGTTTAAATGTTATTTCTTTAGGTTGTTAAGATATTTCTAGTAAGTGAGTGGTTTGCAATCGACTTCGTAGTCTCTAGTAGTGTAATACTTTTGAACCCAGAACAGTAAACAGAACGCGGGAAGTATGGAAGCGATATGAATTCAAAGGTTAGTTTATATTCAGAAAACAAGAGTATTAACGAGATTATAGATGCACCTGAAAGAAACACTAGGATCGATAAAAAGTTTAGCTATTATCCATTCAAAATCATGAAAATGTGATTCATAGTTTTTCAAAATTTTCTAGAGATTCCTGACTAGTTAAATTATATCCAGCATTTCTACGGCTTCAGAAAACTTTTTCGAGGAACCATCAAGATCTAAATGTTCATTAAGTCTATTATTCCTGCTCCAATGATAAGAAATAAGCTTAGTTTCTCTTCTGCTCAGTCTGTAAATTTTATATTTCTCATAAACCCTAAACCATTAACCCAATGATTATGTCATAAGATAACTATTATAACTTCTCATTCTCAGATATCTATTGTATTTTAGAAACCAGCGAACATAACAAGAAGTGGGATTACCACCACCCTTTTTCAATATTTGATAAACGTGATGTACCGGTTATTTTATAGTTCATTTAGCAGGCGAGTGTTGCACATTAGTGTAATTTACCCTAGAAGTTTCATTTCAACAATCCAATTACTGTCTTATGTAAACATATCGTTTTAGTATAGCTTAACATGGTAGATGGAAAACGAAAATCTAGTGAGAGTTATATATTTGAAATGTAATCGTTAACGAAAATTACACCCATCCAGTAAATGTCGAACATTAAACACCTATGGAAAATTGTGGATAACCTTGACCAACATAAATAACGAATAAGTGATCAGACTTACATTTGAAAATACACCTTTATTGTCAATTAGACGTACTATTTGTTCACTTAGTGATAGAACGACATAGAAAAGAAATAACTTCTATGGTTTATTACAGTATAATGGCCATATGTAACTAAGGCAGATGGATACATGTAATAATGTTTTAATTTTATCGATGAAAATGCATATATTATTAGTAGTTTTGATTGACAAGATTGAAACCATCGGCAATTATTCGAATGTTGCCACTGAACTATTGATAAATACATTTCAGAATTTCAATATGATGATGCTAAACATTCAGGGTCAGTTAACACGGCAGGTACGTAGAACGATGTATATTATTTCCATAGAACTTGGCTTTCTCAGAATATCGATTTTGTCTAGAAATGTACGCGTCACGTTTACACCATCCAGCTCAGAAAGTACAACTTCCTTTAAATCCTCATCCTAAGCTACAAATCGCCATCATACCGAAAACCAGAACGAACATTTAACATGAAATCATGTACCGTACAAATAACATTAAAATAACTGAGGTTTAAATTTGTTATTCTTGACTGCCACCACAATGATGAACAGTTTTCCATACCTTCCTATTTTGCAGTCCTCAAAGCCTGTCTCCCAATAATATCGACAGAACCAGTCATTTCGATATCACCCTGTTCGTACGCCCCTAATTTTAATTACCGATTGGCATAAAAAACTATCGACTCGTTTACCTTAATGTATATTATTGATTACAGTCGTATATACATAAATTCTTTGTCTGATATGAGTTGTTTCTTTAATGTGCGTTTTATAGGGCCAATCATCTCAGAGAGGCCTTTATACACTTATTTAAACTACGTTTTTGCTCAAAGGTCGTCATAATATTGAGTGGTTCAATAAATTCATGAGTACATTAGGATGGTAGTAACTAAATAATTAATTAAGTATAACTCACTTATCCGTTACTTTCTTATACTTACTTTTTATGGATATATTATCATATTTTATGTCCGAGGTCCAGTAATACTAAACGGGTCCTCAAACCATTGGAAGTAAGAGAAGGCATTGATTTGCAACTTACTGGCTAAATTGCACTTCATTGTTAAGACTAATTCATCACAATAACTAAGAAAAAATGTTTGTGCATTCAGCTTTGAGCTACAAATTTTGCATAAGGGTTAATGATGATAACTTATTTACCTTCCATATCGAATCATGTAGAGCGGTACATGAGTTTAATTTGTTCAGGGAGTCTTGACATGTCACACAACTTCCTAGAAGCCAGATAGTTGATGTACCGTCTCATGACCATCAGTAGATAAAGAACTATATACGGGATATGCTATTGAAGGATGATTATGCACCCGGTCAATGTATCTGACTACATATCCTTGTCTCAGTCTGAAAGATAAATGTATACATAACTATGATTTGTGTACACTGTAATTAAGTTTGGCAAATATACCTTCTCAATCATTTCATTTGTGTACTGGGTTTAGTCAACCATAGGAAGTGTAACTGAGTCGGACCATAGTACATAACAGGGCTTTTAATCGTTACTGTTTCACTAACACACTAAATCAGTCTATCATGTTGTATCCCGTGGAGAATTATGAATGGTAACTTTGAGAACTATTTATGGACAAATATGATATGTATATTTCCTATTGTGTAATTGTTAAGTAACTAAACTATTCATATTCGTGTCCCTCTTATTATAAGCTTTATTTTGAACTATAGACTATTATTATACGATTCACCATTCTTGAGTTATCCCTAGTCCATTAATTACTGCCCCCCCCTATTCACAGCCACATTTGGCCAAATCTTGTACCAATGTTATTTTCTATTTTATTGGTAGGATGTAGTCAGTTTGTTTGGTATATAGACCCAGTATGTTTGAGAATAATTATTCATATTGCAGAGGCTGTTATTGGTGTTCTGGACTTAATTGGCTGGGCTAGGCAGAAAGCAGAACCAAGTAGTACTCAAGACTGCTCATACAGCTTTTGTATATCATAGCTCTGATCGATAATTCGCTCCTCTCTGATTGGCGGGGATCAATACATTCATATATTAAGGAAGGCACGCAATCGATATAACAATCAGATGAAGTCCTACTCACTGCCTTCTCGTGGCGGGGGTGTTGTTTACGAAAGTGAGAGGACGAAAAGCGAATGTCCGGTGCTTTAACCGGGTCGGTGGACACGGAGGGTCCACCTAGGGGAGTTGGAAAACCTTGATTCCAAACCAATGGTGCACATGGGCTCCAGTATCCTGATGGAACGAATGGCGGACGAACCTGTCATTGGTCAACGGTTACCATGGGACTGCATCTCCTCACGATGCTCCACTGCCTTGTGGATCAGACCTTTTGGTCAAAGGCTCCGGGTGTGGCCCCCTAAGAAAACCACCTGCTTCGGTTTGGGCACCCGGGCAGTATCACAGCCCACACACAGAAATAGTGTGGCACATATGTACCTGGTGTCCTTTTGTACCAATATATATGTGTTTAAATAAATAAATAAATAATTACCAAATGAACTTTACTTTGTTTTCTTCTAAAAAAAACAAGCTTTACTTACTGATCAATGCATGGTTCACAAATAAATAAATAATAAATCAATATTAGAAATGATAATTTAATCAAGTATATTGACAGATGAAAAGAGATATGAAGAAAAATGTAGAGAAGTATCAACATATTAAAGAAATAATAATGGTTAAGATTTAGTGCACTGAATAGGCAATTGAATATTGATCAGCTGAAAACTAAGATATTAAATTCTAAGCTTAAAATAAATATTTAATAGAAACATTGGAAGACAATTTCATATCATAGAAATAATATTGTAAACAAAACTTTAGTTAAGTCATGGAAACATGGTGTTTATAATCAATGAAAATCACTTATGTGGAGATGTTTTCTGTAAATGAGTGTTACATTAAGTTATAAGTAAAGTATTCTGATAAAAAGTAGGATATTTTTGAGTAAAGTGAAGTAAATTGACTGAGAACTGTCTTTATTCATCATTGATACCACATTTAAAATTCAATGGAATAGCACGTTCCATTTGTTTCGGTAAAGGAAGATTTAATTCATTCATAATTTTAATAAATTCCGATTTGGTTTTTGTTAATCTGAAAATTAAAATGAGAAATGAATATGAAAAAGAAAGTAGAATAGAATAGTTTTGAAGATTTCAATAGGGATAGAACAAATATTGATCGGCATTTACTCGACACCAGGCATGTTATAATCGTGTTTTTTGCTATATAAACGACCCAGCTATTCCTATTGCTTAGTATTCTTATACGATGACACTCGACAAGACCCCAAAATCAGAACACGTTGAACAGGAATTAAATTGTATTCAAAATAATAATAATAAGTGAACAGCAATCAATAGTTTAAATAATGTTTATATATTTATAGTATATACATAAGAAGCTTATAGATTTTTCTGCAATAATATGCCCGGGCTGATCGGTTTAAAATTAAGCAATCAGCGCGCAGCAACACCATCATGCATAAAACATGCTTAATCCAATCTATATCCCACTAACAGGGCACACCATTGATATTTCTCATGGTCTATCGGTTAAGTGCTCTGACGTGAGACTGGTAGGTCCTGGGTTCGTAACTCGCGAGTGCGGGATAGTGGATGCGCACTGACGAGGAGTCCCATAATAGAACGAAACGGCCGTCCAGTGTTTCCAGGTTTTCCATGGTGATCTAGCTACAATTGACTCATGATTTTAACTATGAAAATACTGAAATCTCCACAAAACCCCTTATGAAAATTTATTAGTTGATCTTATTTTAAATAATTCTGCCTACAAAGATATTTCACTTTGTGTATTTAAATAGCAGATTACTTGATACCTATAAGAAAAAGGAATATTATATATTTAAAGTATATTCATCACAGTCGTTCACTACCTTATACACATAGGATATATAAATAAACTTACCGAGGATTATATGTCTTTTCCTCACCAACAGTAGTCATAGTGTTGCCTAAATAATCATGAGCAGGAAACAATATATAATCATTTGGAAGACTGAAGATTTGTGAATAAACTGAATCATATAATGTCCCAGCTGAGCCTCCCTGAAAATCTGTTCTTCCACAACCACGAATTAAAAGTGTGTCACCAGTGAAAGAAACACCAGCCGAATGCAATACTAGCGTCATACAGCCTGATGTATGCCCTATAAAGTCAATATAAGGCATTGTTAATGGTAATAACAACGTGAACATATAAGTTTTAAAAGTTACGTAATAAAAATGTAGTTCACTTCTATTACAATTACGGGTAACACAATACATTATAGATTTTTAGGATACGGTGAACTGAATACAAAAGTGAATTCTGTATATTTGCCTCATTTATTCTTAGAAAGTTAAAAAATGATCAACTACACAGTGATATGTTTTCCAAATAAAATTAAATTTGACTTTAATGCCAGCCTACCTGGAGTACTTCGACATTCTAATTCGAAATTCCCAAACTTAATAACATCTCCATGTTTTATTATCTTGTCAACTTTAACTCCATCATAATGAGATAACACACTATAAGATCCGGGAATTCGCTTTAACAATCCACTGCCAGTTACGTGATCAGCATGCAAATGAGTATTTATTATTGGACCCAATTTAAGATCCAACTGAGATATCTACAATACAATATATCAATGGAAATAAGTGAATAGTTTGCTAAAGTAACAGTTACGATTATTCTACAATAAATAAACACTAAAAACCTAAGATGGTTGTTTAATAGTTCTTTCCGGTAACTCTGTGGGAGAGATAAGGCATTATATAATAGGAATTTTTTTTACAATTTTTGGAGATTGGATAATTGATTGTAAATGTCTGATCACTAAGCTTGATGAATTAAAAAACACTAAGTTTATAAGAATATGGGAAAAATCTGTATGATTATTTACGGTAACTGTGTTTGTTTTTGTCTTGCTCATGAGTCTTAGCCAGTGAGATTTATTTTCACACAATTATTATGTATTTCAAGTTGGGTGCCAAAATTGGGGTAGTGTTCGAACCTATGACCTAGTGATTGAAAGGATGATGCTTAGACTAATGAATTATAGCTAGGTAGGTGTTGGGATGACCCTGCAATTCTCTCGCAAGCGACATGACAAGCTCATGGGTCAACAAGGAGCATTTCAACCAATCAGCGATTGATTAGAAGTTATATGAAGTTATGTTACTAAAATAATGAAAATGGAAAAGTCGCATGTGGAGATCGTGATTGGCTGATTAATACACTGCTACTATGTTTAGCAGTATTCTAGAACTTTCAGTAAAAACTAAAGGACTCTTAAATTACTATAAAATCACTATATTTTCTGTACATAAATGAACCCTGTAGTAAAGTGCTTCCCACACGCTTTGTGCCTTTTCTCTGGTCTTCAAGTCGCGGAGTAGTTCTAGCTCGGGGGTACGGAACCAGCTTAGGGAAGCGAATATAGCGTTCACAATCGGCCAGATATAACAGTAGGAATGAGATTTGAAAATATCTAAATGAACGACTAAGGATTTGTAAGTTTAAATAGATTTTAAAATATGGAGTTTTAATCCATAGGTAATTAAATGTTTTACCGAGAAAGAGTAACAATGCTAAAACAAAGTCATCAGTTGCAAATCTGAACGCAGATATGTCCGTAATTGGCGATCATAATCACCTGTACAGTAGAATGTTATGGACTTAACCTTAAAAGAGAAGATAACTTTGGTTTACTTTCAGCTAACGAGTATGAATTATGAAAATAAAGTCTGACTGGTAAGCAAAAGTTACAACTATTTCGTCAATAGCGATCTCAAACTATGACTGGAGTACATTAGAATTATTACATGGTCAAAGTTTGTGTTAGGTGGGAAAGACCACGAAGACATTTGAGACAACTAACTCGAATGAGCATGACTGGATTATATTCCAGTTCCTGCCTAATTGAAAATTTTATATTGGTTGTACTGATAATAGTTAATAAGATCTAAAAAGGCACCAACCTATGAAATAGCTGGATCGTCAAGTAAATCTTGTGTGGCACCATGACCTCAGGCATTGTCCGAAAAACGACGGTTCACGTAAATTCACTCTACCTAACTACGACTACCGAGCATCTTATTATTTTGTGCCCTTTACTGTTTATTTTCAGCTTTTTAATTGTTTTGAAAACATAGTTTTATCATTGTTTGACTTTGTAATTTTTAATGAAGTGTAATAATTTTTTTAAAAAACATACACTTTTATATAACTATGTCCACTGTTTGATTATTCATTTTCTACGTACTACTGTGGTGTGGGTTATTTATATCCACATAAGTAGTATATGATGATGGTCAGTTATTGAATGCAGTTCAGTAGATCAATAACAAAAGAACGGGAACGAAATGCGATTGGTATGAAAATGCATGAACAATGATAATCGGAGACGATGGACTGATATTTGCAGAAGGAACGGTCAAGACTCGGACAATTGATTGATAGTTTGCAAATAAACTATTTACAATATTGTCCTCATATTTTGATGAATTTTTTTGTAATTTTGTGCCTAAATACATTCGATAGTCCTTAATCGTCTTCTTGTTTACTACACTAGTTGTTCATATCCGCTGGCTTTAGTTTCTCTCTATATGATGTTGTACAGGGTTTTATTGCAGTGTTGTGTGAAAGTACGGTCATCGGAACCGGTACACCATTGTTTACGCCTTATTTTCATATTACTCAACTAATAAAAGATTATCTGAGAAAATGAGCGCATCTAGGGTTATGATCATTAGCATTCTCTTTTCATATATATAGAGAGTTGAATATGTTAATAGTACAAATAAGAAATAATTCGGTGAACAGTTTTATTTATTAGTTTAATCCACTTGAGCTGTTTCAGATTTAAGACACCCCTAGCCACCTGTGTGAAAAAAGGAGAATGTGACTACATAATCGTTTTTAGAGGTCAGGATTCCTGAAATTTGATGTTATTAGGATTACCCGAAAAATTATTTATTTTACTTAAAAGTTAAGAATTACACCAACCTACAAGTTTTTTATCTCGTTCAACAGTTTCTAAGACAGGGTCGATAAGAACAGCATCTTTGGTATGTGAGTCAGCCAGTAAGTAAGTGTATGTACATGAAACCTTTTCAAATAGTTGACGAAATATCAAAGGACCACCGGCAGAAAGTACAGGAACTTTGGATGACATCCTACAACATAACATAAACCTGCTTCATAAAACCGAGAGTTTACTAATCAAAATAATTTAAAATCAAAACCGAAATGTTAAGCATTAAGAAGTATTATGTAAGTCTGAAAACATATGGAAGATGTAACACAGCAAAACTTTGAGAATATGGATGAAAAACAGTGAAAGTCGGAAATCACGAGCAATTGTAAATTCTACCGAAGGATGGTTAGATTTATTCCCACCAGCAAACGGCATATTATTTATGTGTTTATTTATTTAAACACATAAGCATTGGTAAATGGAGGTATCAAATACATGTGCGCCACACTTCGTTATTCGATCTGTGCGAGGGCTGGAATACTGCCCGGGTTCCTAAACCGAAGCAGGTGGTACATAATGCTGCAAAAACCACCCCAGTCAGATACAAAATGATTTACGGTGGCGCACTAGTTTATTTGAATTCACTAAAGAAGATCCAAAAGAGATGAAGAATGATTTTTATTGTACATATTTATTACACGTAGTCGCAGTAGTTTATACACAGATATGTCACAAACCTCAGTACAAGCTCTGTACAGCTGAGTATATATAAAACGGTGGCATCTATTGAGTACCTTTAAGGAAATTATTTAATTAGGTTGTCAGATAATTTTCCCTATCTTATTGCCAAAGTACGCATGTGTCATTTATGCATGATCCAAGCACTGGTAAAACAGGCTTAACATAGGCTTACAATAACCAACAATTCTCCATTTCCATGGTTTAGTCACAAACTGATTTTAGCTAGGATACTACCAAAAAGAAGGTACTGAACAGCTGTTTCGTCTTGGCGCGAGACCCCTCAAAAGTCCACACCAGAGAATTTAGAACCCAATAACTTCGGTTTCACCTGCGAATACTTAACCTTTATACCAATGAATCTGTGCTCAAGGCCAGTCCTGGGTTTAATTGTCTTTGAAGGGTTGTAGATGTGCACCGCTGGAGAGTCCAATACCAAGATTAAACAGATGTTTCGAAATTTATAGCCTCAAAAGGTGATCCAGCTAGGATCAGTCTCTAATATAAAAACTGTAAAAATTCTATAACCACCGACAAACTATATACAGATATTTTGGAATTCCTCAGTTAGTCAGTAGTTTAGTTGCATCTCGTCGATAAATGTATTGCAAGGAAGTTTTCGTTCCGAAAGTTGACTGTCATGCCATCCTACTAACACTTATGAACAAACTGGATGATATTACTTAGGCGAACTTGAAATAACTGTCCAACAAATTTACAACAGAGCAGTAAACTCTGTGAATAGCTAACTAGTAAAAATTTCCCTTACGTGGTAACGAAAGCTTACGCTGATACCTTAAGTAACTGAACTATAGTAATAATCCCAATTCCTAGGCCGTTCATAGGTTACACGTTTAAATGTATCTTAACAAGAAAAAAGCCATGTGCTAAAAAATGTACTTTTGAACGTTTTCTTGTAGATAAAACCTTACTTCAGCCTTAGGACTATTAACTTAGGTAATATTGAATAACGGAGGGTTGGCTTCACTTAACAACCCAACCTCCCAATTCGGGGGATTTTGTGCCATTTTTCCCGAATTTCCCCTATTTTTTCTACTGCGTCTTCCCCAAAACGGATAACATTTTCCCCAGAACGGGGAGATTAGGACTTCGTTGTAGTGTCTACTCTTGCGACAGAAACATCTTAGGATGTTTTATTAAAAGACGTACTTCAGCCAGGTGACAATAAAAAAGCTTAAACACAAAATTACCGCGTAACAGTACTTGTAGCGCGTAATCACGCAATTACAATTGCGCGATATCTACTCCTATGTATACATGCAAGTAGATATTTGGTTTGTACAAAGATATTTGTTGGTAGGAAACGATAGCTTAATGTATACAAATGTGTTGGCATTTAACTAACCATAGTTGAAGCCTTTCTTCACTTTTTCTGTGACTGCAGTGAGCCTTAATTAAGACAAAACTCAAGCTTCGTCTTCAAATATCAACCTTTCATGATATGTGTGTTAAAAATAACATCCGAAAAACTGAATTACAGAGCTTGTAACACAAGAGTAAATGAACGAGGACGCAAAACATGTAGTCAACTGTCAAACTTGTTCGAACCACAGAAATTACTTTTTAAAAAGCCCGGTAGGCCACTATACATCGACGACCTTAAGCGACTTATCAGCAAATCAGAAAACAGTGGCTAGTAATAAAACAATGAGCAATACAAAGTTATGAAATTACAAAGAAAAAACAACTTTTATCATAATACTTAAACCTTGCGAGTCAAACTAGCTTTTCTGGCTAGAAAAAAGGGAAAATTATGGTTAAAAAAACATGTATTAGGAGTCGAGCTAGTGTTATGATTTGGGGTTATCACCATATAATTTTTGTCAACAACTGATATTTTATGGTGCAGGAAGGTCACGATAAGACATAGAGATTTAGACTTGGGTTTTGGGTTGAATTTACAAATAGTGGTTATGATTTTAAATGACAGCTGACATTAGCTATAGTGTATTGCCTTCCGACCTTGCTGTATGTAAACTTAAGAAACCTATGTTCGGGATTTAAAGTGGGGGTAAGATAAGCAAAGACTTAGTGGCTGTAGTGATTACCCTTGAATGACATCGAGTTAATTATGTGCCGAATTCGGAACAGGTATCTTGTGGTATTTAGCGCAAGTACCACCTAAAACTTAATTATTTGGTTGCATAAAATATATTTTGGCAATACTATAATTTATGGACTAACCAATCGGATATAAGATAACAGGTCACGGAATTTGAAGCGAAAATAGATCATCCATTTAGCTTTTTGGCGTTTCACCTGATGTCGGTTCGTGATGAAAATCTGAACCTTAACCATCAACTGTAAGTTCTAATCCTTATTACTGGAACTAATTTGTAGACCTTAATTAAGCACGTGGACTTCCTCGAAGACTATTAAACGTTACACAAAGTTCGCCAATAAAATATAGTTTCACCTATAGTTTTATTGATTTCAAACATTCTAAGAACCATATATTGCCAACTTTCACTTACTAATCATTGTTTACATGTTATTTGACTCTAAACTTCGTCAAAATACTGTAGGCGCTATCTTGGTCTTCGTTGGCTAAGTCAAAGTTGTCAGTAAATTGTACTTCAACTTGAAGCCCTCTATCAAAGAGAGATCACTGATAAGTGGACCTCGTCCAATATCCCTGTCACAAGGTTGTACGAACATACTGATTTTAGTGCGCTTGCTTCTTGTTGTTTTGGTACGGTTCAATATATTTAGTAAGGTCTAAGACGTGATAGCCCAGCTACTGGATTGCATTTATTCTGGTTAGTTTGTAGGCAGTTTTTGGATTTGCATATCATGTAGTTTAAGTTAGTGCGTTTGTCTCAGGGCAGTAGGGTTTCTGGATACTAGCAGCTGTTGTATTATCAGACAGCAGTTTGATTGGTTGCAATGTGAGAATGATAAAGTGATAATTTAAGTGCCATTAGAAAATGATTTTTCCGATGATAAACAATTGAGTTAACTAATTGGCAATGCAGATTATGAGGTGGTCGAGGTAAAAGTATAATAGGAGAAGCGGAGATGGTAATAAGCGTGTTGGTATGTATTTGTCACATCGCTTCTTCAAGCTCTCCACCGTGCATACCCCAACTGCGAAGGGAGATAGTGACACTGGACCCTAGCCACAAGACCTTTGAAGTCGAGCATATAATAACTGAAAAGATTTCAGCAGTTAACTCGAAGAGAAGGTTTACAGTGGAGGATTTGTGAACGTACATTCAATGAGATGGCTTGGCTCGGTCTTACATGCGTGGTCATTCTTATGTAGCTTCTCCCTTTCATTCATATTAAATATATTGTTCTATCTCCAGCCTAAATGTATTCTTTATAAAAGCTAAACATTATGCTGCTGATTATTACGATACAATGATATGACTTCCACGTAAGATCCAATAGATTAGATTTGCACATCATGACAATAGTATAATTTTAGAATCATTTGTATTGTTATAACCGTACTAATAAAAAACGACTAACATTTTTCACAGGGTTCTAAATGAGGGAAGTCTTAGTAGGAAAAAGCACTTTCGAGCCAATCTTCACAGTTTTTGTTGCTTAGTCTTACAGTCCTACGAGTTTCCTATCTTTTTACTTGTTCTAGGAGATTTATTTCTCATTTAAAGAGAAGGGGAGCGGCAACTTTGTGGACTTTGAGGTGAGACAAACATAAACTCTGCAGTGTTAGGTACAATTTTTCGGTTATTGTGTTCTTGATAGGACACTCTGTCTAGAGATCAGTTTTCACTGTGATATCACGAAACAAGTTTTTGTCGCAAGCAAAACATCGTTTTGGCGAACCTGCATGGTATATTCCGGCGGATTATGGGATACGATCTGGCAACTGCAATAAGTGGTATCACACTGTGCGCACCGGGCTCACACCGGCAGCATATAAAAGGTTCTGCAAGATACTATCACGCTGGCTGTGCAAAGCATGTTGTTCTACAAATTCTCTGCTGATTTTATAGGCGATTGAGCTGCTGAATATAGCTAGCAAATTGCCCTCAGGTAAACAGGCGGCAGTAGATGGGCAGAAATCCACTTTCGAGGAAATAGAGGACGTTATCGTGAGCACATCTGTGGATTTAAACGAGACCATAAAGGTGGACCCCATAATTGAAGCAAAATTGGAAATAGATTGCAGGGAAGAGTTGATTTCAGGAATCAAAATTCCACAGCGTGTTAGGACGAACCTATCTGATAGGTCAGACATTTTTCACAAGTTAGGAGAAACTTCCGAAAAAGAAGCAAAGTCTACATTTGAGTACGACCTCAGCTACATTAAGTCTTTAGTAAGCAAGCTACTCCCGGAAACTTTCTCTGGAGTTGGCGTCTGTAAACTTCATAGAAAAGGAAAACAGGTGGATTCCGAAAATACTCAGAAAAGTTGCCTCTAGAAGGTAACCTTTGCTATGGTTTAAGAAAGAAACCTGTTACTGGGACACTTATGTAAAGTGTATAAAGCGATTGGTAAAGAAACCGTTCAAGTATCATTAGTTTTATTTGTACTCACATTTATTCTCGCAGCACTGAAGATCTTGTACTAACGTTTAATGCAATTGTGTGCGAAAGTGTTTTCCTTTAAGTCTTTGTAACTTATTCTTCCTAATCCCTCCAACTGTTCATCTTATTGATTTTTGATGCAGAGTGAGACGATTGCTGCTCACTTTTTATTTTGGTTTCTGCCAAATTTTAATGATCTTCATAAACAATATCCGCATTGTTGTACTTCATAGTTTGGTTACGGTTGTTGCCGTATTGTTTTGACTGACAATTGTGTTACTTGGAGTTACCGGAATTTTATATTTTTTGATAGTGAATCGAAGTGCTCTTCTAGAATGAAGAGCACTCAACGTCTTAAGAAGTAGCACTTGATGATTTTACTGCTGGTATTCTTATATAGTTAAATATCATTTTTTGGATAAACTGCAGTTGGTTTATCCATAAATGAGGTAGTAACACTTTTGCGTTAATAAAAACGTTGATTTGTTGGAGCTGGTGTTTAAATCATATTCGTTGTAGACTTATCTCCCCAATGCAATAAAGAATTATTATTTTGAATTAGCTGAACAATTATTGGGCAATAATCAGAACATGCAAAGATATCATGTGAAACAAAAGCTGGAAGGATAAGTGAAACACTATGATGCCAGATAATCCGTCCCAAATAAATGACTGTAAACAATATGATAGTAGTAATCGCAAGAAAACCAAAGGGGAAAAAATATCCGTAAGTACTGACAGCAATGGGAGAACGATGAACATAGGGGAAGAACAAGGAATTAATAACAAGAAAAAACGAATATAGGATTTCTCCATACATTCTTACAAGCACTTGTTGATGGATCGCGAAGTGTAGGGTGAGTTAGATAGAAGCAGATATCAGGAAAACTTTGATACCTACTGTTGACATCACATCAAACACCGATTTATTGGTTCAACCATGATTAACATTGAATAATCAGCAGGCCATTTGAACGGGAAGATGGTATGTCCTTGTTCTGTTCTATTGATAATACTTCTCATAATCCTACTCAGTAAACGTCTTCATAAACGACAGAATATTTTCATCATTTCATTTATGATTAGGCCAGTGGGATCAAAGAGTCTGATGAATAGGTTGTGGTGTGGTTGATTGAAGTATCATTAGATAATATAGGCTTGTGTGATGCTGCGTAAATCAAACCGATGGTCTAGTCTGACTAACTGCTCAATCTGCCAATATTAAATGCTTGAAGAAAACAAGCAGTACAAATCCATTTTTGGCCCTCGGAATAGAGTACTCTGCATCTATTCTCAAAAAGGTTGGTTAGATGATGAACATACTGACCAAGACTATATACCAGTGTTCTTATGGTGATCATCTACAAAATTTCTTAATCACAATTATCAAGTTGAAGTGACAAGCGTCACTGGATTTCAATCATGTATGAAAGCAAACCAACAACAAACACTGTTTTCGAAGTTATGGATGACATTTTATAGATCCGTCGAATATTACCAATATTATTTACATCCCTTCTAACATCCTAATTCCTTGTCTCTGTCTGATACCATATTTTACCCGTTTTTATCTACGAAAGTAGAGTTCAATTAATCATCAGCACTCTTAAGGTATAAACGTGGTGGTATTAAATTTTAGAGTCAGTGGAGGGCAGTAAGGCATTTGACCATGTTATTAGGATGGTTGTGAATAACAGTTATCCTGACTATTGATTTCATCATACCGAAAAGTCGTTTCTATGGTGAAGATGACTTGTATCTCAGGTGGGTGATTTTGGTGTGGTTTCGTCCTCTGAATGATTTGGTCGTAGTGCCTTCATCATTCAGAAGAACGATGAAAACTCTACGACAATGCCATTTAACTCCCGGCGAATACTCCACATGATTCATTCATCGTTAGAGGAACCTTTTGTGTATAAATGCAGTTTGGATTGTTTATTCAGTAACATGTTAAAATGATTTGTTAACGATTTGTTTGTTTAACCTAAGCAGTTAAGGTGTACATGAACTTTAAGGAGGGTCTATTGAACAGGCGTCACCAATAAGCAATTTTTCAACATGTTTTCTAATTGTGATCACTTATCTTATTGTCCTCGTCTGGTTGATTACTTGGTGTTCGTGGGCCGAGAAGGACATTCCTATTCTGAAGAGGTTTACAATCAGATACCAAGCATTTTGAAATGTTATCCATTGTTAAAACATAAAGACTTTGTTTTGCCTAATGACGTCGTGTACTTCTGCCAGCCTGAAGGATGCTTGTCGTCAACCTTGAGTTCAACAAATATGGTAATATTCCTAATCACGTTGGTATTAGTAGGGAACTACAACATTTGTGTTTACTTTGACGGATAAAGACTCACAGAAAACTCGTTTCGGGATATGCTTAAACTTCTATCGACAATGCAATATAATTGAATCAGTAAGTTTTAATGTTCACAAATGATTGTTTTTGTTATCTTGACCACTGGTTGTGACACCTTTTGTCTAATTTTTAAGTGTTTGAAAGCCATTCATTATGTTCTTTCTGATTATTAATGAACAAATGCCTTACAGTTGAAGAAATCCTTCTATATTCTGCATATCAATGTTAGTTACTAATGTTTTGAGAATAGGTGATACCTCTTTATACAGGTTATCCTGTAAATGTACTACATATCTGACATTGAGTTTCAACTAACAGAAATTCTTGGACTATTTTTCGATTAATATTTGACCTCTTTTATCTTTATTCATTACAAAAACGGCTGTCTAAAAAACGACTGTTTAGACAGCTGTATGTCCATGCTAAAGTATTTGCCCAAGATTTCGGTTATGCGTGACAATTTAAATAAAACCCAAGTTAATTTGAAATGACAACAATAAACTTTAGAAACTAATCATCACACCTGCCTAATAGAGCTTCAGTGTCGCATTTACATTATTTATGGGATGAAAATGGCATTTTAAATAACGTTTAAACATACCAGTATGGATAAGAGGTATGACTGAGTCTAATAACATCGGTTTGAAGCTTGGTGTAATGTAAAATAGGGTATTTATTGAAATACATAAGTAAACGAGAGCGAAATTCATTATCAAGTTATATTTTACTGGCGGCTTATTTGGTAGATTAAATAAGAATGTATTAGCAGTGGTTTTAATGCGTTTCTGATCTCGGGGATATCATAGTGCACCATCATTTTTCGTTTTAGTACAAAACAAAACAAAGAAAAATATCTGATGATTCAAATTTTTGTTGTCTTCCTTAGCAAGAAACGAAAATTTCTTAGAGACGTTTGATTTACAGTCGTTTATTGCGCACAAAATCATGTTCTTAGCTTTGAGCCGCTTCGTAGACATGGGAGTTAATGATACTAACCGCCCGCACAAAGCAAAGTATCTGAAACAAGGCGAAATCCGCTCCAGAGTTGGCTGTAAATCGAGCCTCTCGACCACTTAGTTATTTGTGTCTGCTCAATGTTGTAGATTTAGACTGTGCATATAAGTCGTATTTCTACAGGTAGTATAGAAGCAACAGCAGTTAATAACAAGAAATACGAAATATGTTTAAGCATCACTTAGAACTTACCGTTAAAACGTATACCATGTTTACCGATGACAAAATGTAATCTTTTGCAATGTCATACTGTATAAACATGCCGATAAGAGCAAAAAGTGGTTTTATAACATGGCAATGTTTGACATTTTCGTTAAATGAGGTATTTAATACTGGCTGTGGCTGAACGTATAGTTTCAAATGGTAATAACTCACAAGATGTTGGCTGTTATTGCAGGTGAGTTGTAGTCCTTCATCTAAACAACTCGATTTTGTTTCTAACTATACGTTTAAAACCCTTTATTATCATAAAACCACATTGTTTCAGACGATTGAGTCCATTTTTGTTAGCTTTTACATGGAATTTAATTACGAGCTCTAAATTTAGCTTGGATTTGAGGCTCAATAAGAACCACAGTCAGTAGTTTTAAAAATCTGCAAGAATGTGGTTGTGTTGTCATTAGTGATCTATACGTTATTTTGATCCGATCGACAAACAAATCGAGTCTAAAACCAGAGTTACAAAGAATCAATATTGCCATCATTATGTACGTTGTCGTAGAAATTAATAGAAAAAGTTAGCTTACTTATTGTTGGTTGTTTAAGGAGATGTAATTTGGAGTGGAGCATGAGCTTAGGATACAGTGTTATCTGCTTTTAGACGCAAAACCCCTTTTACACATTTAATATTTTTCTAAAAACACAGTGTCATTCATCTTGACTTTTTCAGGTATGTTCAAATGAAGATTTCAAAAGTAAGTGGGATTCAAATTCAGCCCTTCGTAATGCACATGAAGATCAAATACTGGTGAATGATAATAAGCAATCAATATTAACTTCTTTGTGTCTGATCAGTCACCATCCTTTCTTCTCAAAATTTCGTCAGTGTTTGCACTGCCTGAAAGAAATTGTCGACAGATGTGATGAATATTTCAAAAAATTATACTCTCTCAGAAGGTAGGATTATTATTCTGTTTCCTCTTGAGATACTTGTGTATTCAATAAGATACTGAAATTTCGGATCTTGTATCATAGTCTCAGTCTTTCAGTTATCGGGGTTTATTCGCTACTGTACTTGTACTCTTAGAAGTTCCTAGTTGCCAGAGACCATTTCTTGTTACAAAGTATCCTAACATGTCAGACTAGTTAGAACCTAAATTTACCAACGTCAAAAATATAAAACACCAAATATTGTCTGATGGTAATGGTCAAAAACACAGTCGCATGAAGTCCCGTTAAAGAAAAATCAGGTCACATTTTCCCACGAACATGGATGACTTTTGAACTATAGTTCTTAGCTGCGATTTTGAACCATATCCAACAATATATTTAAGTTAAGAGTTACAAGATCTTTCACAGCCAGTTTAAAAGCTTTGCAGAGTCAGAGAATGATACGTTCACATAAATATTTTTTATTAAATGTTTTTATTTCATGAAGCGATCACATTTGTTTCTGTGACTTTTGTTCTCAATAGTCATGCTGAATTTAGTTAAAACATTTCTAAGACGTAGGTGATTCTTAAAAGTTACAGTATTATTTCATGATGGACGTCAAAACCGTTTACATTAACCGAAGAAGGAATCTAAAACGAGATAGACATATCAAAACCTTGAAATACATTTGGAGATGCCAAAAAATCTTGTCAAAAATTAGTCATTTTAAGGTTTGGGTAGTTGCCAAATGTTTGTTCTCGTTGTTCGAGTTAGGGTGATCGATACTCTGAGGCAAACAGACATAGACAAAATACTGGGCAAGAGATACTGACTAGTTTACTCTACTGATAAATAATTGACTCAACTTTCAAAGGAAACAGAAAAACGTTACTAGTTCAAAGTGTAGCTTGACGTTTTACAGATATGTAGCGATATATATATATATATATATATATATATATATATATATATATATATATATATATATATAGAGTTCTGTATTTATTTTCAATTTGGTTTATCCAATGAAACCATTCTTCCTCATTCCTAATTTTCTAGCGCGAGTAGCTGACTAGGTTTGGATGTATAGATTTTTTATATCAGTAACATGCTAAGACGACGACAGAATATGATGATATCAACTGTAATTTATTTTGTTTTTCTCACTTTACTTTAGTCAGTCTTATTCCTTCTGGTCAACTATACTGAGTAATCAGTTAGCTCAACAAAGAAATGTTGATCAGTTATTAGCTAAAGTTGTCTATGAAATAGAATCTTGGATTATTAATCTTTTAAATGCACCCGTACCTATTCCAGGGAAAACGTGCCTACGTGTAAGTTTCATTTGTGACTATTACCTAATAATTAGCAATGAGCTAAACGCTATGCGTGTTTTTAACTGGATACCATGTAGGTGACTAGTATTTCACTAAAACCATACATATATATGTATGCATACACATGTTTTTTAAATCTTACACCAGCTTTCAGTTTGCAGAACTAATTCATATCTCATGAAAAGGTTTTTTACAAGTTCCATGGAAGATGAATTGCAAACATCGCTAGTCAGTAAACATATGCAGTCATCTGTATCAAGTTTTTGAATAATCCTGTTTATCTTCTCGATTCTATTGATAGTTTCGTCAATCCAAAAACTTTTCACATCATCTGAGAAGACAAAATATTTAATAACAATCACTACAGTTAATACCATAGTTAATACTACGTTAGTACCAAAATAAAACAATGTTCTAGTGAGAGACTCAGTTCATATTTTTATGTATAATATAAATCCTAAAACATTATCGGGACAGTACCGATTCCAATGTTGTTCTTAGAATGTAACCTACTACTGATATCATTTCATAAATTTATCCACGTAATCGCTACTATTTTTAAACACTTATTATTTAAAGTTTATTCTAAAAGCTATCACCGATGCCTTTCAAAAGAGTCCTTTTGTAATAGAGTCTTTTAAATATAAATGAGGACTGATATCACTCTTTACTGTTCATCTCGTATAGCTTACTACTTGGAATCACGTAGTACTAATTTGCTCGTAAATTTTCCTTCAGAAATGCGACTTTATACTGTCTAGGGCCAAACTATTTAAGCAATCAGATTGAAAAAGTGCTTTTTTGCTTTCTGTAAGAAAACTGTTGGTGACAAGTAATATTACGTCGGTTATAGCAGCAAATATATTTCTGAATGTCCAAAAATATTAGATTTTCATAGCAAACAATCACTAATCATTTCACAATAAATTGTAATGAATGATAGACACCTAAAAAGCAGTATTTTTTTGTCTTAGATTATGAGAAATAATGATTTGTAAATCTTCATATTTTCTTTCACGATCACTAAGCAATCGTTCATTTGATTTCCGTGACGTCTCACTGCGAAGATATATGTGAGTTTACCACAGATACATATCTTAATCATGATAAGTTTAATCTCTGGGGAATTCATCTCTAATTAGTGAACTGAGGATTTACACCCTTTATTCTAATGATAACTGTAAATTACTTTGATTTGTTCATATATTCAGCTTACTTTCAATATTTTTTGTATTCCTACTTATTCGTGATCAAGTTTATTAATAAGTTCATGAATTTTTTCTAGGTTGATATAAGGTAAGATGTTAGCATGTATTTTATCTAGGTGTGCATAATAAATTGATGTACACATAGATATTATTTTTTAACGTTCACTAAGTTTAATTTAACACATTTTTATTACCTATTCTAAATTATTTCTTTATCTATTATTGCCTCAAAATACTTCTTTCTCATTATTGTTACTTGTTGATTTTACCTGTATAGTAGTTGTCCCGCAGATGTTATCCCAACTGTACAGAGTGATGTAAACTTTTCGTATGTTTATGAATTATTCCCCGGACATAACGAATAAATCTAAAGTTTAGACATTACAGTGGTCACTTTATATATAAAATCCATTTTTAAAAAATTTAGTTACACTATAGACAAAGTATAGTTAACTTTTTTGATTATTACGCTACGTAATGCACGTTATAATCTTTAGGAGAATACGAATTTCATTCGAGTTATAGATAATCCTTTCTAATGACTATTATCAAGTATACCATGAAACTTCAGTTGTTAATACTAATTTATGGGTTTGTTGCGGCGTTGAAGTTACCAATTTCGCTTCGCGTTCGTAAGTCAGGATCGCTAATTATGTTGCGGCGTGCTTCGTTAACTGATCGCTTCGATAATCGTTATAATACCAGTCTTAACGGTGCATAATAAGTTATTCAGAAAGGTATATGTTCAGTCTAATCAAAAAACATAATAATACATTATTTACTGAACACTAGTACATGTAGAACATGTTTTAATTAAAGCTATCATCAATAGACTAATTTATATGATTTCAGTAGTACTAAATATTAAAAGTTAATTTTTAAAATCTAATAATGATTAACTTAGATTATGAGCTCAATGATGTTGGTTGAATTGTAAATCATGAAAATAAGTTACAAAAGATATTAAATGTTTATCAAAATAGACGTTTCAGATATAGTAGTTTAAAGGTTAATATACAATTTGTAGCTTAAAAATTCAAAACAAAAATGAATCCATATATACTTTTCACCATAAAATACTTTTTAATACTTTATAGTAAAGATTATTTTAATTAAATCCAATTAGTATTGTTTGTTTGAATCTTCCCATTGATGTTTAGTACTGCAATTCATCAGTCTCTTATTGGCATATATGCATACTGTGCGTATTGCCTCGATATAGACTTAATTTACAAGCATTATAAGCAAAGATCGATAGTGGCTAGCAGTGGAATAGGACGAAATGCGCTTCTTGGATTCCACTGTTAGCTATTATCCATCTTTGCTTATAATGATCATTTATATTATTTTAATTTTTCAAGAGGTTAAATGAATCATTTTAACTTACAATAGTTGGACACTTAGAGTAAAAGTGGAAATTATTGTTTCAAGATTTGAATTGAAATTTATTTCTGTTTCTAGATAGAAGGTATCGTTAAATTGAGACTATCAAAATTTCTATTTTTTTATATTACTCTGTTGTGTCTTGAACACAATAGTGGATGATAACTTTGGCATCCATTTATGGACCAGTATTATGCACATATTTTTTATCGTATAATTGCTAAATAACCAAACTATTTATACTCATGTTCCCCTTATTATAAGCTTTATTTCGACCTATAGACTATTATTGTACGATTTACCATTCTTTAGTTATCCCTAGTCTATTAATTACTATCTCTCGCATTCTCAGCCACATTTGGCTAAATTTTGTACAAATGTTATTTTCTATTTTATTGGTACGATGTGGTCAGTCTGTTTGGTATATAAACTCAGTATGTTTGAAATATAATGGTTCATACCGCAGAGGCTGTTATTGGTGTTCTGGACTTAACTGGCCAGGCTAGGCAGAAGCAGGACCGATAAGCACTCTAGACTGCTAGTACGGTTATTGTGTGTCACTGTTCCAATCGATAATTGACTGCTCTCCAATTGGCGGTCTTATCACGTCATACATTAACTGGGCATCCACTCGGCCACAAGTTATAATATACTCATTGATGCATAGTCACGGTTATACCGAGAAAATTCAATTATTTACGAAATTCGATATATATATATATATTGTTGATAAAAGTGTTTAATGAATTAGAGATTTTCAATTTATCTACAAGAAGCATCCATTAACTATTTAGACTAAATGAATCGAAAAAGAGAGATACTAAATTTAAATGTAGGCTTTATTGAAACAAACATCTCATAAACAACTGTTGCATGTTAAATCTATGCCTGTTGAATAGTATGATGACTTTTATTTCTTGAGTATATCTTTTTTGCTGTATTATACACTTTAAGTGGATAATTCGACCGCGTTTATCACTCTTTAGGTGTGGCTCACAGATATATGAAACATATAATTTATGTTTAGCAATGTTTAACTAATGTATTCAGCTCAGATAATTTTTAAATGTTTCTATCGTCAAATAAGTAGATTTATTTTCGATTCAATTATTTAAAAAACCAATTGTTATAAATATATAAGAACTTTCGTCTAAATTAGAGTGAATAGTTTCACAGTATTTGAGCGCCGAGTTGATGTAAGACATTAAATAGGTAGAATATATATTTGTAAAATCTCAGCGAATGATTTTGAAGTAAATCCAACGTTTCGCCTGGCAAGGAATAATTCCTTGAAAAAGCTTAGACCAGATTACCAGGCGAAACGTTGGATTTACTTCAAAATCATTCACTGAGATTTTACACATATATTCTTATTATTTAATGTCACTTGTAATAAAGTTTTAACATTAAGGTATATTATTCTCATTCGGTTGATAGATAAAAAAGGCTTATAACATATTGTGTTTCATTCGAAATAAAATTGTGTTTTTAAACATCCATACTACTGAAACTGAAAAACTTCGATGTTTCACTCGGCAGTTCAAACGTCCTCAGGAAAAACATTTTCAAGCATCAAAATTATCAGTTCTGAATAGGGTTTCTCTGAAAAATCTCGGACTATACTGTTGAAAATTTTAGCTTTTTTGAAACTTCAGTGGATGGAACTTTTGCAAATAGAGATTTCGTTTTATTTGTCCCTTAAGGGACAAATCCAGTGACCAAAGTTTGGCAAAATTATCTATTCAGATTTAGACCAGGCCTAATAAAATATTATTATTTATATTGAATGAACATGTATGGTTTACAGTGCATGATAAGTTTGATATTTGCATTGGGCATGTATACTAATAAAAAATCACACTTCAATTTATTGTTTTATAGTTATTTTTTGTCATATACTTACTTACGCCTGTTACCCCTCGTGCAGGAGCATAGGCCACTCACCAGCATTCTCCATCCAACTCTGTCCTGGGCAATCCTTTCCAATTATTTCCAGTTGTTATTCATCCTTTTCACATCTGCTTCTATTTCCAGACGTAATGTGATTTTTTGTCATATAGTTTGTTTTTTTTGTACGAAAAAAGATTAATTTCCAACTTCCAAGAACAGATTCAATTGGGAAGTACTTCGCTAAATTAGTTGGGAACATTACATTTTTATTTATAATAAGTAACTTTTAATTAGAGTAAAGAAGTGTTTTTAAAGATTACTTGGAGAACTGCTTTGTCCTAATATGGGGTTCTTTTACTGCTAATAAAAATGATTGAGACAAGGATAGAACCAACGATCAATGGATTTAGTGGATAGCACATTAAATATCGCATCAATGACTTAGTAACTAATGCTTTACATTTCCATCTGCTTAGTTAGGAGAACTGGATTTTTTGTTTATGAATAACAAATTTACTGCACTAAATTTATCGAGTACAGTTTCCATTAATGTAGCTAATGAACAAGACAACATTTTGAATCACTAACTTTCATGCAACAGTCTAGTCACTTAAACGACTAATTGCTGGAATTCGTAGAATGACAGTTTATGTGGATACCAAACTGTTTCATTCAAAAACATTTTATAATTCAAGGATTTCACAATAAACTATGTTAATAGTTCATACTTCCGTCGATATTGAGCACAATAATACTTTGCTTATTTAAAACTAACTGTATATATATATATATATATATATATATATATATATATATATATATATATATATATATATATATATATATATATATATATTGGATTAATTGTTTTCCAGCTCACTGTTGGACCAGAATCATTTTATGAAAAATTGGTATTTGCTTTACCAGATAAAACACGTTTAACTTTGATTGATTTCCCGTTGCATTTACCATTGGAGCTGTTAGGTATGGAGACATGTTTGAAAGTGTTAACTGCTATTATGTTAGAACAAAAGGTAAATTATTGTTATTATTATTGTATATTTTTAAATATTGAATGATTTTTATCAAGTTTCGTTTCAATAAATGTTTATGAAATAAGGTCGGGACTAAATTTTAAGGATGAGCCAATCAGAAGCTTTCGCGGGTTTTCAAAGTCACGGCGCTAAGTTCGGTACCTGATGCTTACGTACGATCGGTTTACAGTGGATTTTAGACAAGATGTGATAATTCAGCGTCTACAAGAGGAGTGATTATTGAGCAGTTCCTATACTTGTGACTGTGGTACTCAAATGACATTTTCCGCTGGATCACAATTAACGTTAAGACCCTAACATTAACCCTAAACCCTAACCATAAACCCTAACCTTAACCCTAAACCCTAACCTTAATCTTAACCCTAAACCCTATCCCTAACCCTAAACCCTAAACCCTAACCTTAACCCTAAACCCTGTCTCTAAACCATACCAACAACATTGAAGCTATGTGGTCGAAGCCAAAAGAATTTTGGAGACCTTATCATGGCTCCAGAGGTCGACTACTATGTAGCCATATGGATGAATTCCTGTACCGTATGCACTATGATTTTAGAACTTCTGAACCCATATCTGACCTTGAGAAGTTTTTGAGCCATGTAAAAGAACAGTATCCGCTTTAATTTTTTAGTTTTGCATAATATATCTTCATGGTATGCTAACTGTCTTCTGATTGGCTAATATTTCTCAAGGTCATTTAAGATTCGTTTTAAGGTCGTCCATATAATTTAGTCTCGCCGAAATAAGTAGTCCATTCTGTAGTAGTATATGTTGTAAATAATATAACATGTGGTATAATGTCACATTATACACATAATCATCAAAACATTGTGAATAATAAGTGGTAACGCTTGTAAGAAGATTGAAGATGTTCAAAATTATGGAGAATGTTTACAGTTCAGGTAGATGCATTGTGTGGTGATATATTCTATAACCTAGATGGTTTTGATTGGGTAGCTTTCACTGTCGTTCCATTTAACATTATCAGTGCCTTCTTTATGAGGTGTGTATAATTCCTCTTCAATTTTATTACATCTTCTTTACTGAATATTTATTTTTTGTGTATAATCATTATTTTTGTTGCTTTGATGTCATATAATATCCAATGTACACTTTCTGAGACTCTTGATTTAGTGGATAAAGAATTTCGTGATTTTCAACTATTCAAACACTACAATATCCATAAACCTCCTTACAATGATGAAAATCGTGTCCTCACTAGTAACTAGCTGTACAGTTTGACTCCTGAAGTTCTAGTGGGAAGGCATTGTCAATGAACTTCAATCCCTGACAGGTATGAGACAGGTATTTACTACAGGCCATCGATGAGGGTTATGCAATATTTCAGGTTGGTTAAACTTAGACATCGACACTGTTGGATACTAATTCAGTGGTCTGCTGATTTATAGTCCGCATGCGAAGGCGAAGGCTTCGGACTTGATTCTAGGATGCGAGTTCGTGGATGATCACGACTAAGAGGTCTCATGCTAGGACGACACGCCTGTCCAGTCCTCTCAGATTTTTAATGATTGTCTCACTAAGATCAGTTCCTGGTTGAAACTGTGAGCACACTATAATCCTTACAAACACCACGCACTAACTTAGAATTAATTTGAAGTACATGAATTATGGCTATTTATAGAATTAAGTATACTCATTCTATCATGTTTGGAACTGACCAGCAAGTCAAGTGCTAATATTCACATTAAGTCTCGAATCCAGTATCTTTCACTCCAAATCCTAATGGTAATGATGGATCTAATTATGTGAATGAAACGCAAGTAGGCAAATACTCGTTTGAGGTTTTAACAATTAAGCATTCATCATACAGTTTTGTGACAGAATATAATTATAAATATATAAAAAAATTGAAATCGACGGTTTCAAGTTACAAGCTAAGAAATCTAAACTATTTTAACTACTTTCGAAATAATATTTTTTCTTTAAATATGATGGCATCTATAGATGACGACGAAAGTAGTTCATGTACGACCAATGGAGAGCGAAATTCCGAACAATAATTCCATTACTAATATTATCGTTGAACAAGTTAGTGGTTATATTAACCCAGTAGCTTAGTAGATAACGCGATAAGTTTTTGAGGAGAAAATATATCTTTTATGTTTTCGTCACACTTATTTTTTATTTTAGGTTGTACTACAATCTAGAGATTATAATGCTTTAACAATGTCAGTGATGGCACTTACAGCTATGCTCTATCCACTTCAGTATATGTTCCCTGCTATACCTTTGTTGCCGAATAGTTTAAAAGGAGGGGAAAATGTAAGTAAAAATGTTTAGTCTTAAACTTTTTGAAGTTTCATATGCATGAGGAATACTTCATAATTATCCTTGAATACCATAGCAGAAATGAGAAATGCTTAAAAAACATCTGGATCCGTAACATTGTTAGTAAATCCTAGTAAGTCATTGCATTTATGTTTCTTCGTGGCCTACCTCATCAGTCTACTAAATTTCATTATCTTTCCTAGAAGTCTTCAGAACTTCACGACTACTTTGAATTATATGATCAATCTTTCGGTTTGTGTCTCTGGTCCAACCCTAATGGAAAGCTTTAATTTTATGGTTATCTATTTTATTTGTTCTATGACCAAGATTCGTGAAAAGCATAAATCTAGAATTTGGTTCGGGATTCGGTATCATATACACTTGTTTCTCAGGCCTTCTTATCAACAGATTCGTATACTTGGCTTTAAGCCTCACTTTAATTGTAAGCCCTAGTGACTCTGTTCGACTGACTAAACCAAAGTAGGTGGAGCAATGTTAGAACCTGTACCTTAATGCCCGAATTTATGTGACATGGTGCTATTGAGCCACCAGTTCTCAGGACTAACTGTATATATATTTAATTGTACTATGGTCAATTATTTGATGATGGAGGAAAATTACAATAAATTCGAGTCAAATGTCTTGTAGTTTTTTTTTTTTTAATAATTTGAATGCCCATTAAAAATATGATCTTACTTTTAGTATTTGGTTGTGGATATGGTATATTTTATTGAGATAAAGAATCGATCTAAGTTAAACAAACATTGATAACAGGAAGGGAGTAACCTGGAAGCCATGATTATTGGAGATTGAACGAGAAGGGTGCGAAGAATTTATCTACTGAAAACAATGCGAGATGGTAGCACCATATAATTGAGTGATTGAAATCAAACTTATACCACTAAATCCCTACTCCATGGTCAGGAGGTCCGGTGTTCAGGCACTAGGCCAAGGGCCTTGTGTTTGATTCCCAGTCTCAGGATCGCATGCGCTCACCGTTGGATAGGCGCGTACGAGGATTAGACAACAGTCTAGTGTTTCCAAGTTTCCGGTGTTTGTCTAACTTAGATCGATTTGCTATCTCAATATGACCTTATTCTTTATTTAAAGAAGGACTATACCTGTTAAAAATTACTAGTGTGTTTTGTAAGATTTGATATTATTCTATTGTATCTTTTCTCTGTTTCTCTCTTCGTTTTTCTTAATTTAGTTATTACTTTCTCCAACACCATTTCTAATTGGTATCCCAGCTACATTTTTAAGTCAAAAGACAGATTTTCGTTTCCCTGCCGATGTGTGGTTAGTTGATTTGGATGCGAATAAAGTAAGTTAACTGACATAAATTTTTACTTCAAGATATGTGATTTTAATTTGTGTCAAAGTAACCATTCGTCTGACACCAATAATTTATAATGAAGCAGTAGCATGATAGTTATAATCAAACGGTTTTCATCGAACATATAACAAATGTCAACTTCGCTTCATCTACTTCGTTTCAGTCAACTTAGTAGTATCATAAGTTTCCATTACAAATAATATAATTCAAGACCAAATTCATAACTTTCAACATGGTAATTGAGTTAAATCATTGCTATGTTTAAACAACCATTATTTGTTCTATATTGTTATCACAGTTTACTTAGATTTATTAATTAGCATTGTCAGTAGCTGGAATGATATAATTATGGTAATTAACTTACGCTAAAATTATTAAATAATAAAATTATATTTTATTTATTTTATTTAAACACATAAATATTGGTACAAGGAGGCACCAGATATATATGCGCCGCACAAATCTCATTTGATTTGTGTGAGGGCTGTGATACTGCCCAGGTGCCCAAACAGAAGCAAGTGGTTTTTCAGGGGACCACACCCCGAGCCTTTGACCTAAAGGTCTGATCCACAAGGCAGTAGAGCATCGTAAGGAGATGCATTCCCATGGTAACTGGTGACCAGCGATTGATTCATACGTCATTTGTTCCATCAGGATACTGGAGCCCATGTTTACGATTGGTTTGAAATCAAGGTTTTCGAACTCCCCTAGGTGAGCTTTGCGTGTCCACCAACCTGGTTAAAGCGCCGGAGATTCGCTTTCCGTCTTCTCAATTTCGTGAAGAACACCTGTTGTACGAGAAGGCGGTGAGTAGGACTTCCCTGACAGGGGCTATATACGCGTGGCCATGGGAGAGAATTTGGAGAGGGAGAGCGAACTCTCCCCACTCTCGACCGTACCAGGGCATTTGGGGGCATGAAATTGTATTGTCATCAATGAATTTGATAACATGATAAATAAAATAAAGAAATATTTCACTACAATTAAAATACTGAAACAAACTTTCCGTATTGTAAATTAACATAAATAAACGAAAAATATTGTTGGGAATTTAGTATTTTCATAGTTGAAATTATGAGTCAATTGAAGCTAGACCACCATGAAAAATCTAAACGGCCGTTTGGTCCTATTATGGGACTCCTCAGAAGTGCGCATCCATGATCCCGCACTCGCGAGATTTGAACCCAGGACCTACTAGTTTCGAGCCCTTAATTGTCCATGCATTTTCGTACCAATTGCGTGCCGTTCCCGTTCTCCTCTTATCGATCTTCTACTGAAATACAGTCGATGCTCGACCATCACCATTCACTACTTATGTGGATATCAGTAACCCACACCACATTAGGAATTTCTTATGAATACGGAGACATGGATTGTAAGCTTGAATCCATCTGGCTTCTCTCATACGTAAGAGGCGTGATTGTACCTCATGAGGAAAAGCAGTAATTATACGATCAACTGCATTAAATAATTTATTCCTACTTACTACATAACTTACTCTTTACGATGAAGGATCGATTTTAAGTTTATTAATCTTATCATAACTAGTAAACCTATCATTACAATATCAATTCTTACTTTCTACTAATTATGTTTAATATTGTAATCCTTTGAAATGGTTATTCAATGGGTTTCCACAGTTTAAATTACAAACAAATCTCAGCTAGATTATCATTGAAACCTTGGAAGCACTGGAAAAGCGTTTCGTCCTAGTATAAGACCACTAAGTTGTGCACATCTACGAACCTGCATCCGGGTATTGGGCCCAAAACCGGTACCACGTTCGAACTATTAAACACTGGGCCACTGAGTTGGTGTCCATCAGCTTTGATATCTAGCTTCAATCGTTCCACGATGTTGTGCAACTCTCATCCATTGTTTGTGGTGGGTAACCATCTCACATTCGTCAGAAATTAAGCTTCAGTGGTTACAGTTTTGCAACAGAACTCCAGGAGTTACATCATACCACTAGTCACTAGTTATTCTAGAATCATTATTAATGTAGGAAGGTTTTTTTGAATGTTGTAGTGCTTTAACAGTTTAAATCAAGAACTGGTCTCAACTAGATCATTATTGAAAACTAGGAAGCGTAAGATACGTTTCATCGTAGTATTGTTTTGCATAGGACTTTATATATTCTATTAAGCATACATTCATATGGTTTCGAAACTGATGAGAATAATGATGCTTACTGATAACAATCGTTGTGAGGATATACAAGTAAATCTATTTCCAATTTTGACCACAGTTTACTAGTTATAATAACTTTTATTAACATAACTATAAACAATTACTATTATTATCATTGTTACTATTGGTATTGTTTTTAATTGCTTCTCATTTAGATGATGGGTAGTTCACTTCTAGAACCGATTCCATTACTTCCGGAGAAAGAAAGCCAAATATTATGTGAAAATTTGGATCAAGTATTGACTTATTATGTTTTTTTATCATAAGTATAATTATCTTTATCTTGTTTCAGAAACTAATTACAATTTAGATTACTGTCTGATATATGTATATGTAAACTGTTTAGGTTGTATAGTTTGCAGGAAGTGCTCTAATAATCAACTTATAAATATGTTCAGTCGTGTGCTTTTCGAAAATTATAAATTTTTAGGCAGACTTACTAGTACGACATTCATTTTACACAGATTAAATTATGTGTACTATGAGATATATAAATAAATCTTCGAACTAATAAATTACTGAGTAGTTATAGGTATGATCTTATATAATATCCTTTATATTTATAAAACGTTGTCTATCAAGTTAAAGTATAATTATTAGGCTGATAGACTAAACACTGTGGTACACGTTATGTGATTAGAATTAATCGGCAAGAAGTCAGTTGGTTATAGGGAACGTAGAACCGTTAGCATAGTGAGATGAAAATGTCAGGATAAAGACAGTATTGATTCTAAGGCCTCTATGATCGAATACTAGTAATCGAACAATAGCCTGTATTTTAAAAAGGCATAATTCACCTTCATAAAGAAGAAGAGAGAGAGCATTTCTGCACAGTAAACTTATCCTTTAGTTGGAAAAACTGATATCTGGCAAACGTCACAGGTGATGTAAGTGGCTTATTAAAAAAGTGGCCGAATGGTTAATGTTAATTAGTCTGACAGAAGAATAAGGTTGTTTTGATTATATAGCACCATAATTAAAAATCTGACCTAAAAAGTTCTTTACCCCATTAACCGATGACCTAGTTCAACAGCTTCCTAGCCGTAACTATTAAGACTAGCGTCTAAATTTGAAAAATCAAATCTGCAACTTTCAACAGATTGTAGATAGCCATTAAGTTTTATTTACTTATTTATTCATATAAATATAATTATTTGTAGAAATAAGTAGATACATCTCTTGATAAATGAAGTATATAAATTATTACTTCCATTACTAGGCTTTATCAAGTATGACTGCAAATTTAACACCTAATGAATCTACGGAAATTAATGTAAAAAATTCTGCCAATCAATTAAGGAATGCGGATTCAGCTGATGTTGCCACTCGAGTTGCAATGGTTAGTTGACGAGTCATTTTTGGCTTTCTTTATTTAAATAACGTTTGTTTCATGTTGACAGTCTCTTGCAAAGCCGATTAATTCTCAAAATCTCAACTTGAATCAGTCAAAAAAGTTTTATGATGGTTGCTTCTTTGAACTTTTGTACACTGATCTTACCGTTCAATCAAGAGCTATGAAACTCATAAACTAAATGTTTAGTTCTTAAAGATATACTTGAGTATGTCTAAATACCCATGCTCTACTCACTGGATCACCATTAATAAGGCTAGAATCTTTTGGAGGATAGTAAAAGCTCTATTGAAGAGTATTTTATAATGAATTGTTTTTTTTTTGTATCTAAGATTCCGTTATCTATTCCACTGATATTTCGATTCTCACATCTACAGACTGGTCATAATACAATCTTATTAAAAAACATGTTTATGTCAATTTCGATTAAAAGTCATGTGGTTTGTACAATAAAATATTGTCGGCGCATAATTTACGATTAATAACCTCCATCCGACCTATTCTATTCAGACTATAATCAAAGATTGATTTTAAGATTATTCTACTGGAATGGGACTTGCTTTAATTTCATTAAATTCCATTATTATTTTTGTTAACACATCAAAAGGAATTAAATAACTTAATTTTGAAATGTTTTGACTGAATTTCGCAGTGTTAGACAATGTCATAGATACAGCGTCCCAATCAGATATCGATCAAATGATAAGCGCGCTCTATTATCCAATATTTGCCTTTCTTTTCTAAGGAACGGGACACAGGTAATTGGGTGAACATGTGGCTTTAATTTCTAAGGAATGAACGGGTATACAGATATTTCTCAATTCCATTTAGCCAGTAAAGTTTCTTTCTCACTTCCAGTCTTTCGTCTGATGTTGCCTCTTGGGTTTGGTAATAGAAAGCTTGTATTTCAGTATAAAAATTGGACGCCACAAAACAGAAGTTAGTTTACTATATTTAAGCAATTTATACTAAAAATATAAGCGAAGAGTAAGTAGTTTTGTTGCTCTCAGTATAGCAAACTATCGTTTATTTCAATTATATACCTCTATCAGTGAGTTTTCAAACACTGTGACTTAGGTTTATAGATTCAGTCGAGGATAATTATTTCGTAAATATTACTTTCCTATTAACACATATCTGGATACATGGATTTATTCTGGATTAGTTTTGTTCCATGTATCACAATTACTAACTAAAGACTGTGTTTGAAATATGTAAATCTGAAGTTAATTTATTTGTTATATTGTTTCCCATATCAATCGGATAGGAGAAAATAAGAAAAGGGTTCTGCGTTTATCGAGGCTTTGCATATACTACCCAATTAGTGAAATTTACTTATTACATTAGTCTTTCCAGCTTAAATATCGCCTTCATTATTGTTATTATGTAGAAACTCACAAACTAAGGTTACCTACTTAAAATCTCATATTAAGTAGCAACGTAACGTAACACAAGAAGAAAAAAAATATTAGAATATAAATTCATTTGTTTATCTATTTATTGAAAAACCTTTTTTGTTTTGAGAAATCTTTATAATTTCTTAACAAAAGGATCTAACGGTTATTGAGTAGTACAAAATCACTAAACGTTCGATTAAAATCCATAGCGAAATAATTTTATTTTAAACTGATGTTTTAAACATTGTAAAAAGATTATAAGTAGTTAAACATGGCACCATGAAAATCATTCTTAATAAGTAGTTCTTAGAGATAGCATAACTGTTATGACTTGACCTAGCCGTCGCCAATTTGTTATGACTCGTATAACAATCGTTATTGTATATGAAACGTGCAATGATACAGAAAATACGTACGAGCAGTCTCGATTGCTATTCGGTCCTTCCTAACTGCCTAGCCCAGCCAGTTGAGTCCAGAACACAAATAACAGCCTCGGAAATACGAATCATTATTTACAAGCATACTGGGTTTTTATACAAACCAAAGTAATCAATAAACTGATTATAACTCAAGAATCGTATGATCATAAATCAAAGATCAAAATAAAGCTAATGATAAGAGAAACACAAATATGAATAATTTAGTTACGTAACAACTGTACAATAAGAAATAGGCATAATACATTGGTCGATAATAGACCTCAGATTTACGATTCATAATTCACCAGGGGATATAACACCTCCCCTTTTTGAGAAATCCGGAGTCGACATCCGGATTTTTAATTTCTCGAATTCATCCTCCCCCACGAAAGACTGTTGGATCCTCATGTACCCAAGTTACCATTATTGTGACATTATTTAAAACACATTCGTCGTATTTAACAGAGAATCCACCAGAACTGATCAGATCGTGAGGATCGACGACATTCAATTTGAGGTCACCAGCTTTCGATTCTTGTGAAACAGTTTGCTTCAATTTTTTCGGAACCTCATTGGCAGATAATGAGTCATAATCAGTGGATTCTTGATTATCATTTAATGCATCTGATATTTTTCTCTCATTTTTATAAGAGAGTTCAACAGGAACATATGAATCATCAAAATAATATAAATCTGGCAGAACAATTACAGAATTTTGATCATTAGATTCATTAGAAACATTTTTTGTGTCATGGTTAGTTTCATTTGGCGCCACTGTATTCAATATACTGCTCGATTTGTCTCCCGTTTCTTCGTGGGCGTGTACTACAGCAATTTCATGAGCATTTAGCAAAACATTGTCTTTCTGTAAACAGGTTGATCCACTGTTTGCACGTCCGTTTTCGGGGTTAATAGGACTTGGACCGTGTATAGGGCATGTCTCTGAAACAGGCAGTACCGGACTACTGGGCTGATCATGTAGAACTGCTACTGCTGCATTTAAATTACTGTTTTTCGCGGATTCATAGAGGCTTTCCCCGGTATATTCATTCATTCTGCAATCGTTTTCCAGCTCTGTACGCAATTTAAAAATTAATGCGTCGACTTCCGTTGCACCCCCAAAACATGGGTGATTCAGCAGCTTTGCATGTAACTTGTCAATGAATTCCAATTGACTCTTTCTGAAGCGCTGCTCTTGTCGCTGGATTAGCAACTGAAATTGATCGGAAGTTAGAGCCATTTTTTTACCCTGTCGTCAGTTGTTATATCGTATGCACTCGTAATATATATGAACGTGCAATTAGGAGAGGAGTGGATTTTACTGATCGGATGCAAATGATACTTGAAATACGTACGAGCCGTCTTGAGTGCTATTCGGTCCTTCCTAACTGCCTAGCCCAGCCAGTTGAGTCCAGAACACAAATAACAGCCTCGGAAATACGAATCATTATTTACAAGCATACTGGGTTTTTATACAAACCAAAGTAATCAATAAACTGATTATAACTCAAGAATCGTATGATCATAAATCAAAGATCAAAATAAAGCTAATGATAAGAGAAACACAAATATGAATAATTTAGTTACGTAACAACTGTACAATAAGAAATAGGCATAATACATTGGTCGATAATAGACCTCAGATTTACGATTCATAATTCACCAGGGGATAATAACATTTTCAGTAAATACCTATAGATTGAGATGCAATAACATTTATGTTTTCTTAATTGTCGAAGTATAAATTTTAAAACAGTTGGAAGGGTAATGTATACCTTCGTTGTTGGTTTTCTAATGAGTACAATAAAAGGAAGGTATAATCTGTCAATGTAAGCAAAGAAATAAATCTGCTACGTCATAGATGTATTGTAATTTATATTTCTGTCTCTTCGTATTTTGCTCTTGTTGTAGTCATATGTTGTTATTGATCAATCGTCATGTAAGTAAATGCAAACATTTCTCGTAATTCCGATATAATAACAGTTTCCATGCATTAAAATAATAAATCTAAAAATGGTTCATGCCGTTTTGGATTGGTTCTTCGATGGGTTATCTTTTATTCAATGTCTTTTTTTATGACATTTGTTGCTGTTAGGTAGCCAATTACCGTAACATTCGAATATTAATCTCTCTTACTTTCATGTATTTTGTTCTCGTAATTTTTTTAGGTGCGATTTTTCAATTCCCTAAACGTACTAGGCAATATTACTGAGCATACTAGAACTATTCGTTTATTCCCTAGGCCAGTGGTCGCATTTCAAAAATTCTCATTCTTAAAATCACGTCAGACACTTACACCATTTACTAGGAAATTAGCTGAAACACAAGTGAGTCTTCTTATATTCTTAATGCTTTATATTGATTTTCAGTTTACATTTTCATATACACCATTGCTAGATGTGACTTTGGAGTGCATAAAAGCACTGGAAATTCTGTTTACCAACGTTTCAAATAATGAATGTAATAGTAACATTGATATGACAGGGTAAAAATTAATCCTGAAAGTCAGACATTTATTCTATTGTAGAGTAGATGGTCTATAATTGTCATATTCTCTAATCGTTTTTATAGTAAATGACTTCTACTCATGTTAATCTTTATGTCCAACATTTTCTATATAAGTGTGTTATTTCGTTACAAAACGAACTTTTTCTCCTAGACTGCTCTTTTGTCTTTTGATATCAATTTAATTAAGGGCTTACTTGAATAATTTGGTCCCTTGAATATTCAGCAATCTGCCACATATTATATCACAACCAATTAGCGTTTCATCTATTTATCTAACAATTAATAATATATCTTTATCAAGAAACGCAAAATCTTATTCCACTAGAAATATATACTAACTTGTATAAATTAAGTAGTACTTTGTACGTTGATTTATTGTAGATAATTATTGAGATGAACATTTATAATTCCTGGGTCAGATAGTCAAATTGACAGATATGAAGGAAAGCGATAAACACAAACATAAAGGACATAAAAATAAACCTTTGTGTTTGTCGCTTCTTCCTTACCCCTTGATTAGTACGTAACCTCACTTGTTATTTATAGTCGAATCAATTTATAATACAATCTTTCCTAGCCTCCTGTAGACATATATAATTTCCTTTACCATTTTTTGTCTAGCTTTCTTACATTCCTAAAATGTTATTTAATTATGTGTTTGATTTTATAGAGTTGAGATCATGAGTCAATTGAAGCTAGACCACCATCGAAAACCTGGAAGCACTGGACGGCCAACTCGTCCTATTATGGGACTCCTCAGCAGTGCGCATCTACGATCCCGCACTCGCGAGATTCGAACCCAGGACCAGGAACCAGTCTCGAGCCAGAGCACTTAACCGATAGACGGTGATCTAGCTTCAATTGACCCATGATCTCAACTCTATAAAATTACTAAAATCTCCACCAAACCCCTTCTGATATTTATTTCATTCCTTAAAAAAGTACACTTTTACATTATTCTAGATTTTTTCTAATTTGTACATTTAAAACAACCGATACAAAATGAATTGAAATTCACAACATTGCACAAGTAATTACTATCTTGACTCAGTAGCTAAAGAGATAACGCCTTAGATGTTTCGAGCAAAAACCATTAGTTTCAGTGTGAAAATCCATACAAGTTGATGTACATCCATCTGAAGAGCCCCGATCGGAAAGAAACGCGAATCCTGGGTTTCACTATTATCTACTATTCAACTGTGATTTAAATGCTTAATAATTAACGATAACACTTACATAATTCGCACAGAATGTATATATTTCCATCACATCAATAGGAGGATCCAAATCACCAATAAATATGAATTTCTACATTGTTTAAATTTATATGCACACTTTTTAATTCTTTATTTCCCGAAGTTGTTTCGAAAAACTCGATACTAAAGCTTTAAGAAACTAATTTGATTTTGTTTATAGAAAATAAGACAGAATTGATCAATATAATTTGGAGACGCGGATGTACATATCGTGTAAAGTAACATAGCCTGGATTATCCCATATTCTCCTTCACTTTTATTCACAGGATGATTTACCACTTTTTCTTATTACACTATTTCCACTACTTATGTTTTGTTGATATTATAACTTTTTACAAGGCAGTTGAATTCTTCGCTGAATGGTGCTTATATCCTGAAAATGAAGTATTTCAACGAATTCACGCTGGAGTACATGATCCTGAACAAATTGGTGATAAAGGAATATGGTATCAAGATAATTTAGCACAAATTAACCTTCAAATTTGGTCTTCAGAGCAGACGGATCGATATTCGGCTCTAAATTTTATTCATTCAGTTAATTTAAATAGTGGTAAGTAATTGGGTAGCAATCTGAAATAAGAACTTGCAAATCTGTATGCAACAGGTCTATTTTTGTATTCACTAGCTAACCTGGGAGCACTGGATAGCTGTTCTGCCAGAAGTAATTAAACAACTATAATGTATGAAAATAATTGGTTTCACTGTAAGACTGTATAACTAATAATGAACGTTATAACCATAGAATGTGACAACTTGCTTAGACATTTTACTCACCTCGTTTTTCATTTGTACGGATTTTGAAATTAACATTCCTATTATCAGAAGGGATTTTGTGGAGATTAAGTGTTTTCATAGTTGGTGGTCTAGCTTCAGTTGACTCACTCTTGCAACTATGAACATTCCTATGTTTTAATTTTTTTTGTATTGTATTATTGTAAATGTAGAGCGTATTGTCTGCTTACAAGTTGTCATAAAAGGTTTCTACTAACTGTTAAAATCCTTAAATACTGATAGACTCAAATATAAACACTGAAATTGTTAGCATTTTTTGTTTCATTATTTATTGCATTGAAAAACGATTGACAATTGTACTAGAATTCATGTCCCTTATATATAATGGATAAAAAAATTAACTCTTGCGACTAAACTTGAAGAAAACTCTTATGATTGAAGTTAAGTTGTTGTTAATGAACACTTATAAGTATTTATACAATCTATGACCAATGAAGTCCAATCTGTGTTGGATGTGAGACAGTCCTGGATTCGAGTCCAGCACTCAGTATCGTGGATGTACACTTCTGAGTAGTTCCATACTAGGACAAAACAGCGGTCTATTGATTCTGAGGTTTCAATGGTTGTCTAGCTAAGATTGACTCGTGAATGCAGTTGTAGAAAATCCTGACTTAAATACATGTTAAACCTAAAGCTGTTGCAATATTACGCAACTAGTGATGAGAATTTCTTAGTGTCAAGAAATTTACAATATTGAATGAAGCTATTATTTCTATTTATATCGAAAGCAATGATAATTATATGTTTTCGCTTTTTTTACATAAATAACTAATTAGATGATATAAAAAACTTTGAAATGGTACATGAGAACTTTACTAAATTTAATACTGCCACTAATAATAATAATATCATGTATGACTTGATGAGTCTATATAATCCACCTCAGAATATGGATGATTTATTAAAAAATGCCATACAACCACAACAGTATCTGCGTAAAAATAAGCCTAAACGACGACCTAACCAACAACAATTGCAACCGATGGATTCATTCGATCTTGCTAATGCTCAAGTACAAAAGACTAATTCTATTGAAAATAATGAAATTGCGTTGAATAAAAAATCTTTACCTGGTCGACTATTGACTATACCATCAATGGCTGAATCTACCAGTGATTCATCTGATGATCAAGTGAGTCTTTGTCTTTTTGATTGCTTGAAAATCATTTTCCCCTTCGTAATTACTGAAAATATAGTCTCGTAAGACGTTTTACTCAGCAGACTATAGGCTAGCATTGTGTGACGTGACGATCGTCACTATCGTCGATGTCGATATCTTTCTGATGTGTAAGTAGGAATAATCCTACATGCAAGCAGTCTGATCCATATTCGATTCCATTTAATGCAAACCACCCAGTACAGAATCATGTACTTGCCTTCGGGTCACATTTTGCGTGAGAGCTAATGATACTATTCGGTGTTACTCAAACGCAAAGTAGGTGGGACCGGACTCAAATCAAGGACGTAATGGTTGAAATTTGCACATCTTGGCCACTAAACCAGTAGTACACTCAATATGGAACATCTTTTACGTGGAAGGGAATCAGTTTAATAGGTATTTCACTGATTGAGTAGTTATAATAAGACAATAAAGTTGATTGTTATGTACTTTGTTAAAATTTTGCAGAAATAAAACTGTATCAGTGTATAAGTGTTCATCACAATTTAGTGATAAATACAATATGTACTTTTTTATCCTCAATATAATTGATCATTCAGTGCCTAAATGTTAAATTATGAATTAAGTTTCGGGATGCAGAGAATAACTATAGCTTAGGATTAGAATGTTGAAAGTTTTGTGATCTGTAAGTTCAATGGTTGGATAGGGAAGTTTCCACTGTCTTTCTAGATAATATCATCAGCATATACATCAAGTAAGAAGTAAGCTGTTACAGTTTCCTCTAAAACTGATAAGAATTTAGTGAGTTCCAGGTAAACAGAGCAAGATGTTAATGAAGTGTGAACAAACTCTGATAGCCTATTTATTTTTGGCTCATACACTGATGATCATATTTCGAAAGGTAATAAAATCTTCATGACTAAAACATCCAGCTGAGAGAGGACTACCCTAAAAAATCAAGTTCTTTCCAATTTATTTGGAATAAATTGCTGTTTCTCAAACAGTTTGGTGTTATACATTTGCCGTTCACATTTTTCACCGTTAAACACGAAAATCACATTAGCAGGACCGAGTAGTACTCAAGGCTGATCATACAGCTTTTGTGTATCATTGGGCTATCGATAAAGTCACTGCTCTCTTATTAGCGGTATTAACACGTTCATATATTTAACAGGGCACGCGCGCACTCACACGTCATAACAACATCTATTTCTCACAAACTGTTTACAATCTGCAATATTCCAGTGTGAAAACTACAAATGATGTTTAGCTTCATTTTTAGGTTATTGAAGTTGTCCAAAGGTTAACGTAGTTCATTGGGAAACTCTGATTGATTTAGGCTACACACAAGTTGGTATTCCTCTCCCTGGTCGGTCAGAATCTGAATTATTCAGTTTCACAGTTTGAAAAGTTCCCTATCGACCATCTTCAATTCCTCAATTTCACAACATAGCGCATGTAGTTCAGAATCGATTAGATTACCGGCTACACTGCAACTTGATCGATAGAATGTATGAGATTTTACACATAGTATATATTGAGATAGACCTTCACTATGTATTATATTTTGAATATTTCTCAGAATGTATTTTCATTTTTATTATATTATAGGATGATTCAGATATTTGGGATTTAAAAAAGTCTGTTAATCAGTCTATTATTAAAGAGAATGTGAGTTAAAAATCCCTTTCTTTTGTTTAAATCGAAATGATAAATTAATCTTTTTTTTTATATATGCGTTTATGTTTTTAAAAGAGATTGTCTCTTAACCACAACTGTGGTTTACAGTTTTGTTTTGACATATCAGTATGTCAATGTGTACACCGACAATTCTGCAAAATCAAGTGTAATCGTTTATTTTCTAAACTAAAGTAGGCTTAAATTGATATAAGTAATAAAAATATTACCAAGTAATTGATCTCTAAGCATTGACCGATATCACACAAGTCCTTCTTAGTTCTGAACGAATTCTGCCGATTAAGTTGAAATGTAGACACAAACTTAAATGACTGTTCGTCAACGTGGACTGTATTGAGATGTAAGGAGGTGGTTGGAAGTTGTTGACGGAAAATTCTAAAAGTAGGTTTCGTGTTATTTGAGATCTTATGATCAGTGATCATGTGTTATTATTATTGTTATTGTCGTCAACAATGCATTTGTGTAATCTAATTTCCATTTTTATCTTCTTCCGATTTTCTCTTATCTTACAGCCGAATGAGGTTACGCACGAGGATGATATGATAAGGTAATGATTCAAATTTAAATGAAATTACGATAATTTAATTTAAATCAACTTAGTCATTTGTTGTATTATTCAATGATGAATTTGTTTTGTTACTATATTACTGAAGAATTTCACGTGTTTTATTAGCCAAAGTTAATGAGTTATAGACAATGTGATTACTTGTGTATGTGTGAATCAGTTCAAGTTACCGCAACGCATCTGCCCGAGGTGAAATTATCAAGATGAATACAAAAGTAGTAGAAATAATACAAAATCAAATTAAATAAACTCATTGACTGTGTACCTTGATAAGATCCACAACATAAGTATGAGGGTTAATTATACTACTTCATTTTCGTAACCAAGCGCGGTTCAGACATGGAATTAAGTGTTCGATAGTAGAACTCATTAATTACTAGGATATTAGTGTTGGTAGGAAATTTTTAGCATGGACAGTGTGACTCAAAAAGAATGAATTTGTCAAATGAAAAGTATAGGACAATTTAAAACTTATCGGATTTCGTTAATCAAGATTTAATAATAGTTAACATTTTGATTGGTACGTCATTATAGTAGGCTGTATATGTACAGTTTTGAAGGTTATCAATGAAAACTGTGTTTTAAGCAATTGCCTTCAACCCCAGAACAATGAATAGTGTGAGATTGCTATATTTAACCCTTACCATCAATCTTCCATTTATTTCGAATATAATCACATATGATAAAGTGGTACAAAGTTATTCTGTCCTGTTAACACACACCTTGTTAGTTATATTAGTTACATTTGAAACGCAAACCATCGTCTGAGAGAAGATGAGATCAGTTAAAGACTGCTTCGATATATACATGTATATGTAGGTTTCAGTTTGGTTCAAGTATTTCAATACCGTTTTTAAATGATCTAATTTTCTCTCAGACGATACATATATAAAGCTTCTGACTATTCAATTTCAAACATGCCGTACTTGAAATCAGTAATTTAAAGTAATTTAAATTTGTGTGTTTGACATTTTATTAATGAATATATAAGTGTGAATTACATTATTTTTTCCGTAGATGGCATTCTTATGATTCTTAAGTTAAATAACTAATAACAATCTACTTATGATATTTTTCGCTTTGATATTGACATAAGTTTTTACTTTTCGATGTTATTTCTCATATATACTGCCAAATAAAGCCAAATCTTAAGAATTTTTAACTATTCTAATATAAGCTATATTCCATACTTGCCTCATTCAAACCCAATGATTAGATATGCCTGAACTATTATTTTCTCATTCACTGTATTTTCTGTATATTTGGTGAAAACTTTAATACTTAGGTGACTTCTCAGAAATGAGTCACTGTATATTGATTGATCAATGAGTAGTAGTCAATGCCACATTTGTTTAGTCCGTAGTACCTATCGAATTCCATTTAGATCTTTGCAACAGAGAAACTAGTTTTTGTACCTCGGATATATCGTGATTGACAGAAAACCCTAGACCCATTTTTTATGCTAGTTGGTGGCTTGAATGACTGCGTAGTACTGACTTAAAATATGAAACTGGGTGATCTGGGTTCACACTTACCATAGAGCATTAGTTCCCTCAAGATTGTTGGCATGCTTTACTGATGGATGTTAGCTACCAAGATACCTGGATTCAGGGTTTTTATCAACCTGCGACCACGTCAATCCAAAAAATGGTCATACGATATCCAGCCACATTGACTATCGTTCACACTGCAGCTTGATCGATAGAAATTTATCAGTATTAATGGACTAGATCACCATTACGTTAACCATTGCTCAATGATCAATCGGCGTAAATGAACCTATTCTTTATTATTATTCTAAAATATTTTCGGTCACTTGCAAATTCTTTTTTTGCCAATTTGTCTCTTTTTCATTTCTTTAAATCCATATGTTGGTACTATCGCCTTGAGTATGGATAGGGGAGAATAAATCTAATACACTTTTCTGTATACTTTGATATTTATCGTAATAATAATAAACTCTTGTATTTTGACAAAGACATCTAATTGTTTGACTGGATAAAGATGTTTTTTTCGTTCTTGTTATTTTTGCACGTAGGGATAAAACGAATAATGTAAATCATGTACAGAACATTGAAAATAAACAAATATTAACGAATACTTCCAGTGCTTGTAAGTTAAAATCTAGTTTATGAAAATTCAATAAATATTCACTCTTGATCAACTATGGTTAGATCATAGACCAGTTGGTAAAATTTAAACTCTTCAATATTGAATGTATAATTTGAACTTTGTTACTTGATGAATTTTTTTGGCATTAAAGTTTTTAGATCAGAAGGGGTTTTTGTGTATATTTCACTATTTTCATAGTTGAAATGATGAGTCAATTGAAGCTAGACCACCATCGAAAACCTGGAAGCACTGAAAGGCTTTTTCGTTCTATTATGGGACTCCTCAGCATTGCGCATCAATGGTCCCGCGCTCAAGAGCCTCGAACCCAGGACCTACTAGTCTCGCGCCAGAGCACTTAACTGATAGACCATTGAGCCGGCATCCGATGGTGTTAATGTCTAACTTTAACCAATCCACGATGTTTGAGAAACCGTTCACCAATTGTCTTCACTGAGTTGATATCTCTACAACAGATTTTGCTGAGCTCCACTGGTCGCTCTAATTACTTTGAGCATTTTTTGGAAATGTAACTATACGTGAATATCTTAGTACTATTCTGTTGTTCCCTTTTTGGAACATTCGACCTTTTTACTCTGTTGATGATATTAAACTGTTGATCAAAAATTTTGTTTTAAGAGTATCTAATGATAAATTCTACAAATTATTGAGTTTTGATAGAAAAACATGAGAGTGGTGAACATCAGTTTTCTTCAGTACAGATAAATTCATGAAAAGAATACCATTTTCATAGTATTAAAGAGAGTTAAAGCCGATATGAACGAACTAACCAACTTATTGAAGGCTATCTTTATAGTATTAAAGCGGACATTAGTTGATAGGATAAGAACCAAACAAATATACCCCGATTTCAGGTCACTAACTATTGTCACGTGGTCGATAACACGTTATATGAGTTAATAAACAGATAAACATCATATCATCCAAAAAAATTTAATTATAAGATAAGTTTCATTATCGTGACCACTATTTGTTGCACTGTTACTGGTTGGTAGGCATTTCATTGAATTTCTGGAGAAGTTTATCCAGTAGCTACTTTAATAATTTGTGATGTGATAATTTTTAGGGAAGGAAGTGATAACTTTGTGGTAAACTTTATACTACTAACAAGTAGGTTGTTTTTATACATGAAAATTATATTTGAAATAATCTTAGCGATTGAAATTTTAATAATTCCAACGTTTCGTCCAGCTAACTTGTCTGGACGTCTTCAGCGTAATAATCAAAATCATCAAAAACTCATAGCAAAATCTACACTACGTCAAACCAATCATAATTAGATGTTGAATTCAATGATTCAGAAACATTTTTTCAACCATCAATTTGCACTTTCATTTTCATTTTTACTTGATATTAAAACATATTAACACAGAATATCATTAATAATAACTCATTCTTGCACATGCAAGCACACAGTCCTCATTTATTTCACATCATGAACGTGTTACATGGTTCTCTTTTAGCTGATTCTTATTATCCTATTTACAAATTTCAATATCTAAATATGTTTTTGTTTAACGTAGTATACATTTTATATGATCGATTTTGACCTTGATTATAACCGTGAAGAAGTCCAGACAAGTTAGCTAGACGAAACATTGAAATTATTTAAATTTCAATCGTTGAGATTATTTCAAATATAATTTTCATATATAATGACTTCTCTCTACTCGGCGCCCAATTTTTGTCAAGCTATTCGTTCTAATCTTGGTGAATATTCGTATAAATTAGGTTGTTTTTGTTAGAACTATTTACCATGTTTTTGCTTCATTGTGGAGTTGATTTGAGAGGATTTATGTAGTCGAACGATCACATCAGGCATTGAATCTATTATTAATTCTTCTGTATAGTCAGTGTGAGATTAATCTCAAAACGTTTTAATCCAATCTTTCAATTACTCCTGTGTATATGAAAATTTAGGTCTACATCACGTTGTACACAATACAAATTCTTCAATTCAACGTATAAATATAATTCTACGTGTGATGTTCCTCATAACGAACAGAATTTAGCAGGGTTCTAACCTATTATATAGTTAAGAACATGAGTCAGTTGAAGCTAGACCACCATCGAAAACCTGGAAGCACTGGACGGCCGTTTCGTTCTATTATGGGACTCCTCAGTAGTGCGCATTCAACTGACTCATGATCTTAACTATATAAAATTACTAAAATCTCCACAAAACCCCCTTGTGATTCTAACCTATTAGTCAGTGATCAAATACTACAAGAATTATGCTACTATCTTCAATAGAATCAAGAATCATACTTACATTCTACTCAGTTAGAAGAACCTTAAACAATGATTGACAGATGAAATATGATATAGATGTTTTATGTTTACTTTACATCTTAATTTGCTGAACCTAATATTTTATTGTTTTGTTCATAAAGACGGTTAAATTTTCAAATCATATTACAAATGAGTAACCAGACTTAATGTTCATTAAATCTAGTTACTTCATTAAAAGGAAAAGTGAATTATACATTAGTGATATACCCATAAGTTAATTAAGTTTTTACTATTAACAATTGATTCACATTCCTTTTCAATCGTTTTTCCTACTTCAAGCTATTATACGCAAACCTTCTCTGCGTAAAGTTCCCACTACACAACAAACTAATTATACTAATACTGAAATGAATAAAAGATCAGTTCACTATAATGAAGAACAGTTAGTAGAAGTATTGAATAAAGATGTAATTAGCACTGAAGATGAAGTTGATAAAGATGAGGATGCGGATGAAAATGAAGAAGAAGAATCAGCCGCAGCAGCAGCAGAAGAAGAAGAAATGGAGGATGACGAGGATGATATGGAACAAACATCTGTAGGAAAATATTTATTAAATAATTTAAGTGATAATCTAGCCGATGCTGCTAGTCATGCTAGTACAACTTTAACAGGTTTACTGAGTACGTTTGTTTCGTATTTTTACTCTTGATTATATGATTTTTATGAATCGTTAATAATAAAGGTTCGAGTTGTCGTTTTATTGATATTCAATGTTGAGTTTTGATTAATCATAGATCCTACCACTAACCTTAATTTATCTGCTCTGTAACAAATGCCTATTTTTTCAACATTATCAATTAGATGTGTTTGATGATATTTATATAAATGTATCTCAGTCTTACAGGAGTTCAGTCGTCACGTTGATAGCTCAGTGGTGACGTCTTTAACTATGAAGCTGGGTAACACGGAATCGAGTCTTCAAGAGAACATCACTTCCCTCAAGATTATAGGTACACCTTACTGACGAGTGCCGAATAGCACGTATTATAAATTCAGAGTATTCTGTCGACTACCTCCAAACACCACTTTACATCTCAACATTATGCACGTGATATCGAGTCAACAAAATTAATAGTTCCTTTTTATCTTGATTATAGAATTTGATCTACACTAATATGGACCTGACATATATGACATCACTACCCAGTGATCTATCTAATGGTAATTTTGACACCTTTATTTTCTCTAGTTCAATTTATGAGAATACAACGTAATCAAACTAAAGTATAACACTAATCACTAATTTTTTTTAGTAATCTCAAATCTAATAGAAATGAACTGTTCATACGTTTAAATTGAAGATGAATTACAGTGCAATTAACTATTTCGAGCTAATAATTAAGTACAATTGATTGAAAAACGGCAAATGAATACATTCTATGCAATAACTACATAGGATTCAATCACTGATATAATGAAGGTTTTTTGGTAACCGCGATAATTACAATTTTTAAGTAATAATAAGAATAAATATTGTTTCTAGTTTCGTTGAATGTTCTCACTGACTCTGAACTCAAATCACGAACTGTAAACACTAGACTAAACACTAACGATAACTATGGCTACAAATATGTAAATGTTGATGTCAAAGAGGTAAAGTTAGCATGATCATATAAGACCAATGATACCATTACTTCAGCTTCCATGACAGCATAACTATACCATTTAGGTCACACGATTCTTAGTATTCCTAGTATTTTTCTGCCCTGATTACGTAACATTGAGTAAAGGTTCTATTAACATTTACAACTATTTAGTGACATGTGAATGGTAAACTAAATTTTTCGATTTAGGTCATGATTTTTTCGGTATCGAGGATGGAAAATTCTATTTTCCGATTTGATGAGGTCTTTTTTTTCACTTTATGTATTTGAAATATATCGCATGCACTAGAAAACTATCATTCACATTACTTAAATGACTTTATCGTATTTCTGTGCTCCATCACTCCCAGCGTTCTAATGGTTCATTTTAACTTAAGTGGGAAAAAATGTGTGAAACAACCGAATCCTGTAATTGACAAATAATATCATAGTAGCCACAAATGAAAAGAAAATTTATTCACGTGAGAATCACTATATTTGATATAAATGATGAATAGTGAATAAATATAATGATTTTGATCTAGCAGTCAACCATAAATGTCTGTCAGGGTGAAATAATCCAGATGTATCCCAGAATAGTATAAGTTGTAACATAAGGGATGGACAGTATAACTTAAAAGGAAAGAAGTAATGCACAAAACGAAAAAAGATAAGAAATTTCCAAAACTCAAGTTTTAAGGGGAAGAAAAAGAGTGAATAAATCCTCTCCTTTACGAGAAATTTCGAGGCATATTACGAGAACATTTTAACCATTAATCACGGTAATCATAACTGGGTTGTTTGGACCCATCAGTAAGATTCAGTCCAATAGTTAATGACTTCATGAACTGATGCTACGCTTCTGTCTGTCCACTGTGAGCTTACTTCTAACTCATTCCTACACCAGCAAATTTTGTACACCTAGGTAGGTTGTTCTTGGAACTAGACATTACATGTTCCACCCACCTCAGTCTGTGACGATTCGTTAATTAAGCAACCTGTTTGCTATCCTGACTTAGTATCTTTTGTCTAACCACAGCATTACTCATTTGATGGTCCTAACCCACGCAAATGATGCTCCGAAGGCATTTACTAATATATTTCATCTTTAAAGAATGTTTTTCACAGCTATATAAAAGAACAGAACACATTTATCTTCACTATATTAGTTCTTTAGTTTACGTTTTTGATATGAGATCTTTGTCTGTTAAACAATACTCTCTTTAGATAAACCCAAGACCATTGTACGCAAATCTGGTAGCTTAATGAAGAAAATGGCTACGGAAATTGCCAGTACTACAAAAATCACGGATACTACCGGTAATAAATCAAGTTATATAAACAAACCATTAGATGTTAATAATAATGAACCTAATGGGGATCTTATTCATTCTGCATCAAAATTCGTTTTAAATTTTCCAAAACAACAATTTTTCCAATTCGGTGCCAATAAATCAAGACAACAGGAAACAGGGTTGCTTAGTAAAAATAAAAATAAAAAGTTAACTTCTGGCAAACGAGTTGATTCTAATCTTGTCAATCCAGAACAAAGGTGAGTGGAATAATTTCTTAATAAATTATATATTATGATTGTTATGTGGTTGGCAGCGGTCGACAAACGACGCTGGACCTTGTTTTTGTGCTAGGTAATATTTGTCAGTAAATATTACCTGTAGCCTTAAGGGGACTGATAAACCCTGTCAGATAATATCCTCGCCACCAAGCTTTACAGTTTGAGGCATTACTAATGAAACAATTGGGACACTACTAACTTCTTGTAGGAGTGAGGTATTTACAATTGTTTGGTTACTGAATGGAGGCCAAGATCATTTCCTCCTGGTCATATATTAGACTATGATGAATACAATCTATATGTTACCTAGAATTTTATTCAAACGATTTTCGAACAAGTGTTTTGGTTTTTCTTACTTCCAATAGTTATGCAGATCAAGAGTTTCTTCGTGAAGTAGTCCGGTATATACACGAGGGTCAGGCAAATGTTCAAATGAAATTCTCTGTCAATCGTCTTAAAGAATTACTAAGTGATGAAAACTACCGAAACTATTTACTATCAAAGTTAAATCTTGGACTTTCTAAATCATTTGATGATCCAGATGAATGTATCCCAGATGTTGTAAGTTTTTGTTTAGGCTTGATAATTTCAATTTGTTATTAATTATAAATAATTTACGCCGTGGAAGACCGACCTAAGTTAAATAAGGGCCAGAAATTAGGTGGCAGTTTGGAAGTATTTCCATCCTAATACAAGAACTTTGAGGACTGTTCACCAACGACCTTGATAAGGATGGAAATTAGTAACTTCAGCTTTTACGGAGAATTCTATCCATCAGATCATTTGGTTGATATCCATTTGTTGACATTCCTAATTTCAGTTGGTCCACATTTCGCAAATTTTATGTAAACATTAGTACCTTGATTTTTACTGTATCAGTAAATTATGTCCGTGAACACTGACTGTGAATATCTTCAGCCTACGTAGACGATGTTTCAAGAATATTCCTGTCATGTGAAATACATAACTATCTGATAAATAGAAAATTTCACCATCTACTGCAGTTTTACCTTGAAAACGTATTAAATGTTGAGAGAGTTTAACTAGTAAATCAGTAATTCTGTATTGATGCTGTATTCATCTGTCATTTGTAAAAAAAATGTTTTATTCTTGTGGATTTATTCTAGCCAATCATTAATATGAATGGATACAAATCACATATTTGGCTATTACAATGTGTAATACATGGTCTGGAACAAACATGTACAAATCATGGGATAGGTGGTTTAGCTAGTGCCATGATGTTATTGGAATTATGTCATACACATTATTTGAATATGAGTACTGCAGTTTTGCCTAGTAAACTTCATGGATCCCAAGTAAGTTGAACTTCTTCTTTAAAATGATTCACTCAACATGTGTTAGTTGAGATATGTATATCGAATTGTAATGTGGCCTGTGGCCTAAGTGACTTTATTTCGTATGCAAAATGCATTGATATAGGTTGGTCATGATTGGTTTGAAAGAAATCCTGGACCTAAGTTTCGTGGTAGTTGGCGCTCGATTGACAGCATCTGATTAGTATTTTAAGGTTACACAAATATTATATATTGAGAGATCATTCAATTGTAAGTCTTTTTATGGATAACTTTTGAAGATAAAAATAGTCCCATAAATGACACTTCACTAAATTCACAAAATATATGAATATATATATTTATTTATTAAATTAAAGTCGAAATGTGGTAAATGATTTGGAAAAGTTTGAGGAGATTGATTAGCTCACGGTCGCTTGCCATCTGAAATTGCCTTTACATGAAGAACTATGGAAAATAAAAACTGTGGGGATGGCATCGTACGGTTTTGTTCTGGTTTGGAACTCATTCACTGATCATCATGAGAGTTCTTCTCAAACCTTCTGTGTCAGTTATAGTGTGGTATGTGCTGCTTGTGTCGACATAAGTAGTATATAACACCAGTTATGAATGAAATACATGGCAGAAGAAGGTTGGTGAGATCGAATCGAAGAGATCAGGATCAGAGAGTAATTGTTATGGATATGAAGGAACAATGAATTTTGAGACAATTGATGGACATCTTTTAAATGAAGTAATAAACGTATGGTTTTACATTTTACCAAAGAACACATGGGCCGTCCCCATATGTATTCTCGTTCATAAAAATAGTAATGATGACAGTTTTGTGTGCGCTTGTTACTGGTTTCGAGAATTGCAGAAGTTTTAATAAGAAGCCGTGGCCAGTAAAATTCAGTTTATTCGGGAGTGAGGAAAATATCATCAGCGTCTTTAAATAGTCATTAGGCTATACTGAAAGTGAAGTATTTGAAGTAAAGAATGTGTTTTCTAGGTTGAATCGTTGTATCGGCTCTTAAGCGAGCATTGTTAAGCGATTCTACGCCCAGATGACATAACTATTCAAGGCTTTCTGGTTTTTAAAATTACTGAAACTGGTTTATCATGTAAACTTTTCTCATATATAATACATTATACTGGATTACCGGTGTCATAAAATGAAGCACTGACTGTGAAAAAATCTAAACAATTTTCTTTGAAATTGTTCAATAGTATTTCAAACGGTAAGTTTCAAGTTCAAATAATGGCCTATTTATTTTAGTTTAGACAGCCAGGAAATATCACCATCCCTCTCATGCATGAGGTATTGTTCAGCTGAGTATTAAAAGTTTTCTTTGTATTATAAATATTGACTTATAATAATTTTCTCTGTTTCCCTGTCCTTTCATCATTTTCAGTATTCAACAAGTCAAAATTTACAAGAAGAGGAAAATTTAGTCTCAGCATTTAGTAAGTGCACTTATGTTCATGATATACTTAAATCCGAAAGGATGTATACTTTACACGGTAGTACGATTCTTTAAACGAACTTTATGTAGATAAGTAACAATGAGTGAAACTCTTTAAAGACCAAAAAATTTAAATGTTATAACCTTCGATTTGGAAAAATATCCTAGTCATGCAAATACTTTTAATTGAGTAAATACTATTTTCTAAGTGTGCTAACAACTCCTTAACAGTTCATAAGCGAATGTATTAGAGGGGATCTATTTCTTCAGTAATATATTGAATGAGAACTATTGAGCGATAAATAACTGTCACACAGTGATTGGTTACTCGTAAGTCATCTAACTAAGGTCAATTCATGATATATGACTTCGAACTTCATAATCTTCGCAACACCTTATATATATCATCATGTGTTTACCAGATAATGACAGGTAATTCATAGAGTTCTAGTGAGAATCCGTGTCTAATGCAATACAATCATGTTTGGAGTGAGACGAATATCGCGAACTAATTGAAGTTTAAAATACAAACCATCGAATAACTACCCTGTGGTCCTAATGTTAATTGATTACCTTGAAAACTGAAGGTTCTGGATTCAGTTCCTGACAGAGTTGTGAGTATGCACTACAGAACAGTTTCACGTTAGAACTAAACAATTGTTCATTATTTCTTAACTTTCAATAATTGTCTGATCAAAGTCATTCACTGATGTGAAATTTCAAATTCAGCAATCTCCACAACTCTGTGTTATGACATTAGCGTTTCTCTATTAGATACCTTCCTAATTAAACTATGTAATTTATTCATACCACTAATCTTAATGCATAAACTGAGAAAAGTGCGAAGTGAGGATAAAAAAAGTGAATACACAAAATACCTCAGTTTAAAAAAACCACTGTGTTCTAAATGAGCATGAAAATTTGATAACTTAACTTCAGATAGAAGTCTCACTGAAATACGCACTTATGACTTTATCTAAGAAAGTGACAATGAATGCTTCAGAATTGAACCATCCATTTCATTCATAATACAAATACAACTAAATCCAGTTCTTGAGCTATAAATTTTCTTTATCATTTGACTTAAGTATTATGAAATTACATGTTACATATTTTTTTATATGTAATATGTTATCCTTAAAATAACTGGTTATTTAAGTAGTATGTTTTCTCATCTAATGAAATTTTTTTTAGCTGGATGGTTACGAACAACAACGAAAGACTTAAAGAAAGTTACGAAACCAAACATAGTAACAGGTAAGTATTAAAAAATGTAAAATATGTATATTATTTGTGTGGATTTGTGTATATCGACATTCGGAGCCTATATACTCTTACATATAATTTAATACTTGTAGGATAAGTTAGTAATTATATAAACTCAGTAGCTTAATGGAATGGGTAACAAATTGGGCTTTAGAACGAAAGTACTTGATGTAAGTCTCAGGGTTAACATCAATACAGATGTATGTACATACAAGTATTGATTCGCAAATGTAAAGGAACGTGTTTAATGCATTCCACTATTAACCGTAATCCAAATGTTTTAAAATATCCATTGATTAATACGTCTTATTTGATGTTTTTCCATGTTGTTGTATTATTCGAAGGTATCAAGAAATAACATAATTTTATTATCCCTTAAATGCTACATTACAGTATATTAGTTTTCGTTCTGATTCGACACCTAAAGGTTAAATGAAAGTTAATTTGGAATATTCGATTAAAGCATGGAACATGGTACTATTAGCCAGTGAATCGTATTCACAAGCGAATCGAAACAAAGATTCTAGTGCATCCTCAAATTACATCTTTGCTGACTTCATAGATTATGCTTCTCATTAGAATTACGGGAAATAAGTTTTGAATCTACTCAACTAATATATATGTCATTCCTACTACTTTCAAGCTGGTTTTCAGATATTTCTCGTAATTGAATGAAAGGCGAAATTATTGCTGTTTTAGTATTATTAACTAGGATATAACAGAATATTGTCGTTGGTATTGATATAAACTTCTAATCATAGTTACATTAAGCGGAATCAAAATCGATACCCAAACTCCTCTTTTGATCAGTTTAAAAAGTGTGGTCTAGTTTTAAATTCTTCCATCGGAACTTGTCTTATTTGCATTTGACACTTTATGTGTAGTAAATAAAAACCAATTTTGAAATTTACTTGTTTGGTTTTGTTTTATACTACTAAATAATAATTAAGTAATGAATATATCTCATCAACAATGATCTGTTTGTAAATTGTAAAACAAGAATTTGTTTGTCGACAATTAGTTCCTTTTCCTTTTCTTTATTCAATGTATTCATATTAAGGTTCTTAGTCTACGTGACAGTGTGAGTAGTAACTTTGAGGTACAAGAATATGATAGTGATGATTTCCAAGTGGAAGTAATTTGTTTTGTGACTAATGGTGGGGTTTCCCGTCTCACTAATGGTTGCATATTACAAATTAATGACTGAAAAGTAGTACTAAAGATTTATACACCATGGTTCATTAACTTTCGTATGATAAGGTTCTTTGGTACCCACGTTGTTGGCTATAGAGAATACATTACCTGGGTACCAGTAACACGACCTGGCTGGTTAATCCTAAAAACAACAAACTTCCAATTTTACATTTGTCAATTAACCAGTTCTATCGAAATCCAAGAATTTCGGCAGAGTGTTTTTAATGCAAAACTCCGCTATATTTGTAAATTTCCCAATGGAACTGAGAAATCTTTCATATGGACTGGATTATTCAAAATATACCTACTTAACATGGTCTTCGATTGTCTTTATATGTTTTTCTGTGGTACAGTTTTCAATTCCTCAAATATTTTTAAGGATTTCCCATATTAAGAATTATTATTACTGAATGCGAATAAAATATTTTCCTCAGACTTGATACATTCAGCATCCATCAAGACCGCTGTATTTTCTTTCACACGTTTTTCAAAACAAAATGTTTGATAAGTCAGTGTTACAAAGTAATGTTTTACTGGATGAAAAATGTTCATATCTGCTCTAAACACTGGTTTGTTAATCAAAACTGTAAGATATTGTTACCTACAACAATTCGTATTCAGTTAACTAAGGATTTAGAAACTGAGAAAGTCAACCCAGTACTCATACTGTTTCTTTCTCAAAAGTACTCTTCAGTTTAGTGGAATAGTTTTTTAAAGGTGTGATATTTTGTTTAGCACTCTACTCCACTGCTTATACTTCTCTCTAAAATTGCTCCCACACTTCGATCAAACTTTTGAATTGAATTCTAAAATTTATCCACACCAAATAATCATCTGTAAATAAAATACTTATGTTTCAGATGCAACACAACTAAAAGCTAGCATAATATCATAAAGTCCGAAAGTGGACTAATGTTTTTAAAAAAAATTAACTATCCATATTTATGTGAAGATGTCAATGATAAATTACATACATTCTAAAATTATACCATTGAGATTTATATCACACGGTTTATTAATTTCAAATGGATTACATTATCATATACTATGAGACGATATATTACTTCTAGATAGATTCTTGAGATTTTATAGATCTGAAAGGTTGAGTGAGGTTATTTTAGACTTATTAGTAATGATCATTTGCAAAAAAGTTTGAATAACCCTCAGTTAGATAACTATTGATAAACAAACAGAACTGGAAAGTTGTTTTATAATTTGAGATTCCTCAGAAGTGCATTCTATCAAGTCGAACTTCAATAATAACTCACATTTCATATTACGTTGAATCCATTTGTTTAAAAAGATAATTAATTCTTTTTTCGTTGTATGTATCACAAACCGACCTTTTCTGGTTAGCTTTTTTTAGAGAGTTAGTTTTCTACGGGATGGGTCGCCAACCCCATACCCAATCCCCCTCCTTTATCTGGGCTTGGGACCGGCAGTAACCTCTGGAGGGGCTACAGGCGGAGTTACAAACCGATCTTAACTATATAAACACTGAAAACTAAGAATCATTCTCAACTATTGGGTGGAAATTTGATGTCACTTTTCCTCTCCTGCAAAAAAGTCACAATATAATGTGGAGTCAGTATTTCAGAGTCAAATTCTATTTTGTTTCAACACTTTCTTTTGTATTTTCTATTCATTAATTTTGCCATCTGACATCATACTCTATTAAAAATACTACTCAAGTATACATCTTCAAATAATACACCGTAGTGTTTTAGCTAATTTACTTCAATACGACATTAATAATGAAGCATTCTAGAATCGTCAGAAACAAAGGGACGACCATGTTCATTGTCTGTCAAGGGAAATTAATAATTTCTGCAAATTGATTTTATAGCCACCTTAAATAATGCGATTTATCCATAAAATTCACAGTTATTTTAATTCTTACGAAGATTATATATATATATATATATATATATATATATATATATATATATACGAAGTTCGGAAAAATGTGTACTTTTTCGCTCCCTCAATATTTCTAGTCAAGCATAAGCCATCAACTTACTCAATTTACAAATACACATATACAATGAACTAACATTTCATCCTACATTATAACTCCTGAAACTTATTCTTCAAGTTAAATATTAGCGTAGAGATGATTAACAGTTTCTTGAAGTACCGCAATGATATACTGTTTGCTTCAAGAATACAGGTAGCCTTGTTGATGGATGGCACGGAATCTGGGTTCCAAGCCTTCTGATGATCACTTTCACTCATTTCTTCATATTTCACAATCTATTTTCTATTCTTATTAGGTTATTTTTCAACTAAACTTAAAATAAACGTTGAATACATTATAAAAAACTATATATTCACCAGTATTAGCTGTTTGAATCACACCGTTGTTGATGTTAAGAACTGAAGTCGACCAGTCTTTTATGGGATAAAGACAACCTTAGCAGATAGGCTCGATATTGACAGATATTTACAAGTCTAGTAAAGTTGTATAGTGGCTAGCAGCAGCTAACTTGACTCGCTAGCTCGTTAGATAATCT